TCAAACGGTGGCGTTGTAGATGTTGATGCTGGTGTTGATTCTTGTTGATCTTCTTCGTAGAAGACTCTTAGAACTTCGGCTCGAGTGTAGTTGTGGCGCTCATCTTCAACAATCATGTTGTGCATAATGATACATGCTTTCATTATGTCTCGCAGTATGTCCTCATCGTACGCCAGTGACGGTTTTCGTATTATTGCAAATCGAGCTTGCAAAACACCGAATGCTCTTTCAACGTCTTTTCGAGCAGCAGCCTGGTGGTCAGCGAACAATTTATCTTTTTGAAGTTGAGGGGTTGTGATACCCTGAACAAAAGTTGCCCACTTCGGATAAATACCGTCGGCTAAGTAATATGCCATGTTGTATTCATGGCCGTTAACGGTAAAATTTACCGGAGGAGCTCGACCATGCAGAACCTCATCGAACACTGGGGAACGGTATAAGACATTTAGGTCATTACAAGATCCAGGAATCCCAAAGAAGGAATGCCATATCCATAAATCCTGATCTGCAACGGCTTCCAGTATTAGCGTTGCTTTCTTGTTCCTACCGGCGTACTGCGCTTTCCATGCCGTTGGACAGTTCTTCCATTCCCAATGCATGCAATCAATGCTGCCTATCATGCCTGGAAATCCACGCAGTTCATTTTGATGCATAATTCTGGCCAATTCAGCAGTTGTAGGGTTTCGCATGTACTCGGTTCCGAACTGATTAATGACCCCGGTACAAAAACGTTGAAGAGCAACTCGAGCAGTTGACTCACTGATCCGAACGTATTCATCCACGGCGTCCGCAGCCATGCCGTAGCCTAACATTCTTATCGTTGCTGTACATTTTTGCAGAGGTGATAAACCTAACCTTCCAGCTGCATCCCTACGCTGCTGGAAGTACACATCACCTTCAACGACCTTGTTCATTATACGTACAAACAAAGGTCGTTGCATACGAAATCTTCTTCTAAATTGGGTGGTGTTGTACACGGGATTATCGGAAAAGTAATCATTAAACAACCTGGCATGTCCAATTTCCCTATCTCTTCTATTCGTACCCCCTCTAGGTTTTTTTGAAGAGTGTTGGGATTGTGTTTGGGGCATGAGGACAGATGGGGGTTGGTATGTGAAGAGTTCATCAACAAGTTGGTCATATTCTTCAGTATTTGAAGAAGATGAGCTTGAACTTGAGCTTGATGATGGTCTAGAATACATCTCGTATTACTATTGTTATTTGATGAAGGGGTGTGGTTGTGGATATGTGCCATGTCTACTATATATAGCAAAAATATCAAATGAATATGTGGTTACAAATCTGATTGACCACACCAAGTACAGGAATTAAATTTTCAACCACGGAATAGGTATACTATGCTAGTTGACAGTGACAAGTCTTGAGTGCAATAATGTCGGTATCAATGACACAAAGGTAAAGCATTCTGATAAAGTGAAATCAGAAAAATGTGACTACACAATGACAAAGATTTATTGTAATTATGTCGGTATCAATGACACAAAGGTAAAGCATTCTGATAAAGTGAAATCAGAAAAATGTGACTACACAATGACGAAGATTTATTGTAATTATGTCGGTATGGAAACTTAAATCAACTTGTTAAACAACTTGTCATTCAATATTGGAAAATCAAGTGTACATCTTACATTGAGATTAACCACACAACTAATACAACTTAAAAATAAAAGACTAAATTGCGCTTAATAAATAAAAGACTAAAACCAAACATGCTTAAAGGCCTTGTAATTTACCTAGTAAAAAATTCTTGTACGACTCTTCTTCGGGAGTGAGTGGCGTAGGCGAATTCTTCAGAGCTTGCACCATATCAAACCAGGTTTTCATCTTATGAATGTCAAGTTCCTCCCTTTTCCTCTGTTCCTTGTCTTTTTCAATTTTGATCCTCTCTTCCTTCAGAATGGCCTCCCTCTCGCGAATTGTAGCGAATTCCTTCATTCGTTCGCTAAGCTCAGACGAACTACTTTCTGTTGCTACTGCTTTCCCCTTACGCTTCGCCTTTGCCTTCTTGACACCCTCAGGTCGTTGTAAACCGCCAGATGAAAAACCATCCGTAGGGGTTTCATCCTCTACATCATCTCTGGACCTCTTCCCACTTCCAGCACTACCTTCTTCCTCGGCATCACAAGCGGCTTTTCTTTCCTTCAAGGACATTGACCATCTCACCTTCAGTCTCCACTTTGGATCCTTGTTAAGCATTTCAATTGCGTGAGGAAAAGTGAAATTGCGACCTTGGGCGACATGAAAAAGCTTCGCCGCACTTTTCATACGATCAGCTTCATTGTAACCACTCCCTCCCTCCGGAAGTCTACCTGCCTCATCATAGCAAGATATCCATTGCAGTGTGTCCGCTGCCAACCTTCTCCAGTGTGACGTGAGACTCTTAATAGGCCTTGGCGGAATTATATGCGGCTTCTGCGTATGCAAAGTTTGGTATGCTGCGTGTACATTGCGCCATAGGGTAGTTGCTTTTTGGCTTGTACTTTTAATAGCATCCTCGCTAATCTGCAAGTACAACCCAATCAGAGCTTCATCTTCCGCCACAGACCAAATACGGGTAGCTCGTGCAGGAACCTGGTTGGGTTCCAACAAGCGCACTGGTGGAGGAGGATACTGCGGCGTCTCTGGTACGCTTTCCTCTTCGCTCTCATCGAATAGTGTGTTACTACCAAGATCAGTTTCAGGTGTACGATCTTCATTAGCAGGGTTTTGTTGGGGAACCTCAGTGGGTGTCTGATGCAGTGGAGGTGGTTGCGTCGACATATTGCCCATTCTTTGCAAGAACAACTGAAACTCGGGATTAGTTAGGAAATCATCACTAAAACCCGAAAGTTGTTGACGGAAATTTGGGTTGTTTGGATCCATTAAAATATTCTGCACCAAAAAACAAAAGATCAATATCGTTACAAACATTTACTCAAAAAACAAATTAAAATGATAACAAATCCAAAAAAATATCAACAACTTTCTTCAATTGCATAATGCAATAACATTACATGCCATACAAAATAACATATATACTAATTTTAACACATAACTACAGGTACATGTTAAAGAAAATAATTAACCAATACTTGCAACACTTTAAGAACATGTACATAATGCAATATAATTTCGTGGCCTATAATTTTTTTTTTCAATAAAATCACATATATACTAATTTTATTAAGTTAATACATTTATATATAGCAACAAAAATTTACCATTAATTAATTGCAACAACAAATTCAGAAATTTATGGACAAAATATAAACAACTTTCTTAATAATTACATATTGCAAATATAATTACATGGCCTAAAATATTTTTTTTTTTAAAAAAAAAATCACATATAATATACTACTTATATTTAACTGATTTTAAAAATTAAATAATTTTTTTTTACCTCAATATGGATGAATTGCAATAGTAATATTCTTCTACAAAATTAAAATACTTTTAAGAAAATTAAAATTTGGAGGATTTTAAGGTGTTTTTGAAATTGTATCAAAATATATCAAAATGCATGTCTATTTATAGAGAATTTAATTTTATGACCGTTGGTAATTTTTTTTTTTTTTACAAAATATATTTTTCTGAAAATGGGAAATACATAAATAACCGTTGTAAAACGGCTAGTATTTTCTGATTGGTTGTCTTGCTGCCAGATGCCACGTGTCGCGTCCTCATTCGCCAGCGAACTGCACGCGTCAGCTTCCCTTTTTTTTTTTTTTTCTGATACTCAAAACGACGCGTTTTGAGGCGCGCCTTTGAGGCAGCTTCATCAAAACGCGTCGTTTTGATGTTAGAGTCAGCTTTTTTTTTTTATTTTTCTGACGCGTGTGGGGCCCACTTGCAACACTGTTCATGGCAAAAAATGCTCAACTTTTGAGCTTTTTAATAAATGCTCATGAGCATTTTTACCTATTTTTCATTTTACTCACCATTGTGAGTTGTGAGCATTTTTTTTCCTCACAAAAAATGTTCATGAGCTAAAAAAACTCTCACCATTGAGAGTGCTCTTACAATTACATTGCACGAGAAAAAAAAGGACTAAGAAATAGGGACCATCGTGACTTAGTCAAGCTAAAAAGTAAGTCGTGCATGGACTTATGGTCATGTTTTATTAAAAAAAAGGAGGATAGAATGTTAGATTTTAAGTTTTAACCATTCTTTGACTATAATTTTTTTATAACACAACTACACAAGTGTATAGTAATTGCTAGTAGTAAGAGTAGATAAATTAATCAAAATCCTTTAAAAAATCTCAACCACGTAACCTTTTTTCGTACTAAAAAGTAGCAACTCATCATCACACAATTTAAAGCGTAACACATCATGTACATAACAGTTTAGTAAAAAGCGATTTTTTTTTGAAAGAACAAGTGGTTGTTAAACAATGTTGTTGTAAGCATGCACCATGTTGATGGGTTTGTATAATTTCTCCATACTCCCTTTGTGTTTTTTTAAGTGTTACACTTTGACCGGCACATAGTTTAGACAATTTAATTGACTTAAATAAAATAAGAGGTAAGTGGGGTAGTTGGAGTATTAAAAAATTGTAAAAGAAAGATAATAGGGTTAATAGTTTATTGAAAAATAATGAATGTGTGAGAAAAGATATAATAAAAAAAATAGTGTATTTGGGTGGGGACTATGAAAGGAGAGATCGAGATATAGTATTTTTAATGTAGTTTTTTGCCAGAAAAGAAAATATAACACTTGAAAAAATACGGCCAGAAATAAAAAGTGTAACACTTAAAAAAACATGAAGAGAGTATTTACTCGTATAAAAAATCACCTTCGATATTTACAGTGACATTATGGTAGACAACAAATGCAACTCAAATAGGAAGGTAAAAGTGAATAAATGTTACCTTAATCAAACAAAAAAGAAAAGGTAGATTTATACTCGACTTCAATTATGAAGCTCTTGTATTATCTTGACTTTTAAGTATGACTTTGTGGTGTAGACTTGTCTATAAATAGCAAACATGTGAAGCTCATACTCATTGCAGTGCCAATAATATCTCAAACATCCAAAAACACAATTTAGAGAGAGAGAAACATTAATAAATTTATAATGGCAAGCAAGCAAAAGGAATTGTACTTCGTGTTCATGAATTTTGATCCTGAGTATGAGCGTCTTCGAGCTGATAGGTATGATTATACTAGACTTCGTATTAATTAATTATGTATTTGTTTAAAGCTAATTATGAGGTATTAATCACGTTTTCATCCTTAATTTGGTTGATTAATTAAATGTTGTTGTGGTAATTAAACAGGACAAAAAGAGGAGCCTACGAATTAGATGTGTATTTAAGTTGGAAACATGATGAACTTCTTGCTCGAACGCTCCAACCTGGTTCATACAACAAAACGTTGTCTCTGGTTATTGTTGATGGTTTTGCGGTTGAAATCACTGATGATCAGGTATATATTATCATTAAGCTGTAGTTATTATTGTTAATGTCGCGCTTAATATAACCTACATTGTCGGATATATAACATATACCCAAAGTTACGGGCCTTACGGGATAAAATTACGGAAAATTTGTAAACCACTATTATTTATTTTTCAGAGAATAACTACCATTTAAGTTTTTATTTTTTATTTTTTATTTTTAAAAAAACCACTACCAATATTGTGGGTTGGTAAGTGAAAATGGAATTTGTAATGAAGGGATTACAACCTAACACATTATTGCCACAGGATATATTTTTTTTCTTTTTAAATTGAATTATTGAAAATGATTAAATGAATACTAATTTAATCAAAACGAGTTTATTTCGCTATTTGTCCAATTTTGTTCGTTCTTTTATTATTTTTAATATATATACTTTGTATATACTACGAGTCTACCAGTACGAAGTACTTTATATCTTTTATACGGTATGAATTGATTATAATTGGTTAGAGATAAGATTTTGTATGAGATTTCACAGAGTTATACAATTGTTGATTAGCAGCATTCTATTCTGTAATGTTGCAGCTTAATAATGCCGCCTTTTTATTTATATTTTAACTTATATTTTTGGTGTACGTGTATCATTTTAATGTACAGGCAAAATTGCTGAGATCTGCCACAGGAGTGCGGGTAGTGGAGAAGAATCAAGAGTTGGCTTAATCACTCATTTGTTCTGCCTTGTGAAATTTTATCATCAATATAATTAATTAGCATATAAACCAATATTATTATTGAGGCCTAAGTATTAAGAAGTAGGTTTAATTTGTGATTACTATTGTGTAATTTTGTGTTATTTTCATTCCAAAGGGCCTATTCGTAAGGTATTATATGTCTTAAGTAGGGTATATAAATACATTACATATTTATGTTGTGGCATTATTATAAATTACAATGGCACTTATGTAATTTTTTTAATTAAGTGATTGGTTGATTTGGAGTACAGTTTTTTTGATTGTATTACTCTTTCCATAGTCAACACCTCTCTCATGTACTTCGTATTTAATTGCTTGAATGAGTTAATTAAGGTTGACAAATACAAAGTAATGAAATATATTACAAAGGTATATACTGATTTAAGCTAGGCTAATCAAGGACATACTTGAATAAATTAATTTGTGTTAATCTATCAATCTATTTTATTCAAAAAGCAAAGGAAGGCAGGGTATAAATTTGCATATATATATATATATATATATATATATATATAATTACATGACTTGTTTGTCAATTCATAACTCATAATTATCACAACAATTTTTTTCTTGGTTATCGTACTTAGTGTACCGTATTGTTATGTTATGTTTGGAAGAGTCCTTACAAACAATATTACTTATCAACTTTCATGGTTGAAGTGGCTTCTCCATCAATTCACATTGGTAGAACCATAGAACAACTACGGTTTTTTTTTTTTTTTTTTTTTTATTTATATTTTATACGTTGATCATTATATATTTTACCATTTTATAAACGTTAAATGTTTGAATTTTTTTTTTTTTTTTTAATTTTTCGTTTTCTTCTGTATTACTTCATCCTGATATAAAAAATCCCAAATTATATATATATATATATATATATATATATAAAAGGTCAGTCAGCACATGAATGGGTCATTAAATAATTAAATTCCATTGCCCACATGCAACCATGCAAGCAAAACTACAATGAAATATAGATTCCAAAAAAAGGATAAAATAAAAATAGGAGTAGACTTTAATTTGATGGTATAGCTAGGCAAATTGACAAAATGGAAAAATATGTGATTTGATGCGTTGCAAAAATCACTTGCTGTTGTTCATTCATAGGTTGGTTGATAAAAATCACAGCCACTTTATCCAGTTAAGGTTAAGATGAGAAGCCTTAGACTAGACACTTAAAATGGCATCATTTCTTTGACAAAATTTCTTCTGAAAGATAGACTCTATTTTGTAAATCCTGACATTTGTGGGTCTGACCTCTTTTATTATCAATCACATGCCTCAATCTTCAATTATTTTCACATCAATAATCTAAATATTTTGCAAATTTTTGTTGTGAGATTAAACTTTTTTTCTCTACAATTATAAATCAAAAAATAAAAATATTTGTTACCCAGAATTGCAGGTTAATTCATTGGTGGATGTGTGTAAATTGACTATCTTCCTAAAATTAGCAAATTGCCATAAAAGAGTTAGTCCCCTTACCATATAATTATAATACTAAGAAATGAGTTTGCGGTTTAGTGCGAATTGGATCACACTCCAGACAACCTTAACATTAAGAAACTAATATAATGTTTTTTTTTTTGAGGAACGGTCTAAGCATTACTTAAAATTCACAGTAACTAAGCTTATCTTGATATTGTAGCTTATCCTTTAATTAAAGTTTTGAGATGTACACAAATTCAATAGTATAAAATTAATTACGAAAAATAACAATAAACATGTGTATAAAAGCAATATGAGTTGAGCATACGGCCCAGGCGCATGTAACTTTACGGGCTTGCGGATTACACTATATCCATTTGGCGCGAAAATTAAGAAACTCTGAAACTGATTATTTTATTAGGGTTTTTATTTCCTTTAATTTATGGTTTGATTCTCCAGAATTAAACTCAGCAACAATGGCGGATTCATTCCCGTCGTCAAAACGCCGTCGTACTAACCAGCTAGAAGCCCGAAACGACGCCGTTAAAACGTCGAATCTCAAGAATTTGTCACCACTAGTCGTCTTCGCTCACGGTGCTGGTGCTCCTTCCTCTTCCGATTGGATGATCAGGTTTTCTCTCTCTTTCTTTCATCTTTCTCATTTTGCTTCAGATTTTAGTTAATTAGTTGAAATTACTAAATTTTACAACATTTGATTTGAAAATTGTGAAAATTCTCTTTACACTGCTCCAATTTTTGTTTGCATGAATTAATGGCGGAATATTAATGAATTTTGCATGTAATTTTACTCAAAATGATGCTGTATATCTTCTATTTAGTAATACTTAAGAATGTTAAAGTTATGATTATGAATTTTATGTTGAACAAATTATGTGTTTTGTGTAGATGGAAAGAGATGCTAGGAAAGGCCTTGGATGCTGTTGAAGTCGTTACATTTGACTATCCTTGTGAGTTCAACGCTTCAATCTCTTTAATTTTCGAACTCGAAAGGGCTTTACAGATTTGATTTAATCAGTTTTTCGATTTCGAGCCTGAAATGCATTGAGGGTCTCTTTATAGGAAGAGTTGTCTATGCTGTTTTTGACTCTTGGAAAAATTGTGTTGTAGATTTGGCTGGTGGAAAGAAGAGACCGCCTCCGAAGGCAGAGAAGTTAGTGGATTTTCATGTTGATATTGTTAAGAAGGCGGTTGATAAATACCCCGGTCATCCTTTAATTTTGGCCGGAAAATCGATGGGCTCAAGGTGATAATTGATTTTTGATGTATGCCAAATAGATAACTATTTTTGGTCATTTTGTAATGTTGTTTTACATATGGTAAATCATGCCAAACAATATGAACTCTATGATGTTTTGTGCTAAAAATCTGTTTAAGATCCTTGCAAATTTGGACTCTTTGTTTGTTTGTGGAATCAGTCAATAAGGTATGGTTTTAAGAACAGGTTAAATGTACTCTGTAGCTGTTGTTACATCAGCGAAGTCACTATTGAAATAATCAGATAAAATGAATGATACTTTTATATTTTATTGGTTAATTAGTTGCATGTTCTTCGGAAAATAATTCTCTAGTTTTGTATCTAACTGTAGAATTAGCTGCATGGTGGCCAGCCAAAAGGACATTTTTGCATCAGCAATAGTCTGTCTGGGATACCCATTGAAGGTTCATCTTTAACTTTTGATCCCTGATTCTTATTTATTACATTGATAATTTTGTTGATGTAGCTCAAGATGATGAATCACAGTAGTTTTTTGATAAAGGCAACTAATGATTATGTAGAAAAATGCCACATTACTGACACTAGTACTTTTAGGGATCGAATGGAGCAATACGAGATGAGATACTGGTTCAGCTCACAGTTCCTGTCATGTTTGTGCAGGTATTTTTTACTAGTCATTGTCTCCGTGACCCATTTTCTCTGATCTTTAAGATGTTAGAAATTAATTGTATTGTGAGAATATTGTGATGTTTATCTTGACAGATTTTATATTGACATATTTAATATTTCTGTTATTTTTTGGGGGATTGAGATGTGGTTGCTCTGTTGCAGGGTAGCAAAGATGGGTTATGCCCTCCGGGTAAGCTGGAAGTTGTTCGGAATAGGATCAAAACAGTCAACGACTTGCATGTCATTGAAGGAGGAGATCACTCCTTCAAAGTTGCTGAAAAGCATCTGCAATCAACTGGAACTACTCAAAATGTTGTTGAGGAGTCTGCTGTCCAGTCTATCGCCTTTTTTGTTTCCAATAGTCTTATGTGATTTGTGATAGTCTCCGGTAGTCCAGCTCTTTCTTAGCTGTGAGAAGCTTTTCTGGTGGGATGATTTTTGTAGTGAGTGTCATACATGATGAGGTCAGTCCAATCTTGATATAAAGTTCTAGTTGGCATAAATCACTATCAGTCTCTTTTTGTATGATATAACCAGTATAGATATGCTGCTTCATGGCACTTCCTTTTTGTTTTATGCTTTATGTTCATATGTTTTTGTAAATTAGCTTTAGAGATTGTTGCTAGTTATTTCTGTTCATGTAACTTGTAAATATTTCAAGTGTGTAATGATTTTTTATGCAGAAGTATAGTTATGCCTTTGGACTCTTCTTGTCAGTGTTTGTGAATCTTACAAGTTACATAAATGGATAAACATGGAGATGGCCTCCATGTTTTGTACTATTCTTACAAGTTACAAGAAATGGAGATGGTCTTCTTTTTGATTGTTGCTAAAGTAATAACCAAGCTACACACATTGCTGCCAAATAATTCCCTTTTAAAGCTATGTGATAATTCTATATTTTTTTTAATAAATTACAATGTATTATGCAATGTTACATAAAATCCAAATCTGATGAAATTTTGAAGATTTTTTTTTTAACTGACCATATTGGTCTCCCTTTTTAATTCCGTTTGTAAGTACTTTTAGCAATAAACTTTTTCAATGATTATTTTTGCTCCTTATAATTTTATTTAGTCAATGTTTTCATTACAAGCCGTGCATAACCGGGTTATTATCTTGTAGTACTAATACTCATGCTATGATATAGGATGCTCTAATGTAGTTATGTATCAAACTGACCATAACGTAAAGCTTTTGCAAACTAAAAAACAATGCCAAAGCAATAGAAAATTTCATCCTAAAAGGAAGAGGGGCTTATTGTTGGGAAGTAACATTTCAACCTTGTACTATAGCAATACACATGGTTCATACTTATCATCCTTTTCCTTGCTGATTCTCCAGAAGTCTCTCTCATTTAGATGAGGTTTTGGTCCCTTGGGAATGTCTTTTTACTCTCTTGTCAGTCTGCAAGAATAAGGTGAAAAATAAATAAATCAAATTGTATGAATCGGACAGTCAAGCATGCCAGTATACCACATAACCTTTTTCTGGGCGGATTTGGAGGGGGATGGGTTAAAGGGGATAGGTGGACATGGAATTATGCTAATAGTTACAAAAGACGAACATCTGTAATATCTTATGATGTATTTTCCTCTCTATGTTAAGCATGTCTGCTAGAAATATGGATTATTTTGTGTGAATAATGCTGGAAAGTTAGTGTATATAGGGAGTTAGATATGATAAACAGATAAAATATCTTCATGTGAATATATACCTTCATTATCCCACAGGACTCATCTTCACTGTTGCTGTCACTGCTGCTGCTGCTATCTTTGCACTTGCTTTCCTTTGGCTTCTTCATCATCATGATCTTCTCCTTCCAATGATCTGCCATGGTTGAAAAGCAGTGGCTGGTTGGTTCTTCCTTGTTTTGAATGTGCACTTTATTGCTTAATTTGTTGCATGCATTAGCTGTGTTGCCTTTTGCATGTTGCTCCTTTTCTTTCTTCTTCATCTCAGCATGAGCAGGCTGCTTAGAATCCTTTATTTGGACATTTGTTGTATGCTGTTTTCCCTTCTTCCTCAGCACAATGCAAGTTGTATGTTTGGCATCCTTATTGACTGTACTTGAGTGCTCTTCCTTCTCCTCCTTTGTCTCCGTGCACACCCCAGGTTTAGTATGTTTGACTGGTATGGTGTCAGCATGTTCTTTCTTCTGCATATGAGCAAATTTTGGTTTTGTATCCTTGGGTGCCGAGCATTGACATGTAGTACAGTGTTTGGCCACTGCTTGGTGTTCTTGTTGTTTGTGTCCGAACACTCTGCCACCCCAAGCGGTCACCTCTGATATCTTCTGGGTAAACTTGTGTTCTTCATGTGTGGGTTTTTGCAGTTTGTTTGAGGCCATTATATTAAGAATGTTGAAAATTTTCAAGGAGATTTTCCTTTGAGTTCTCTTGCTTGATTCTTTGAGGGAATTGCAACACCAAACTATATAGAAGGCACATAGTTTTAAGATTCCCTTTTTTTATTTTTATTTTTAAATGGTGTAAAGTCACAAGTGGGTGGAATAACTGCAAGTCTGCAAGACATCAGCTGCTGCAGAGTATCATTGTAATGGAAAAGAGGAATATATCAGTTTGGAATTTGGATGGTGGAGATAAAAAGCATGAGCAGCCATATTGGAGAACAGCTTTAAATTTTGGTCCTGAAGACTAAGAAACATTAAAGCACAATGTTTAGACATTAACATCAACCCAATACTTCTGATGAAACTTCTGTTTTATGTCAGGAATCCACTTTCGTGCCATAACAGAGGTCATTTCTAGCTGATCTTTATTTGATACGATAGAACTGTCTGTTAAATTAGGTTGTGTGGAAGGTTCAATGAGCCTTTTATATTAGTTAAGATCATTATAATCCATATTTTATTTTGTAAAATTCTTATTTAATAACTGTCACCCTTTTACCTAGAAGGGTTTAGGAACCACTTTGATCTATACTAAGGCCAGCTGATTATGATCTACTATTAAGTAGTATACTGTTAAGATTCAATATATATATATATATATATATATATATATATATATATATATATATATATATATATATATATATATATATATATATATATATATATATATATATATATATATATATATATATATATATATATATATTATTAGACTAGAGAAGATTTGGGCTACATGAATCCTTGAATGAATGAAATTGACTGGAACATTTTTAATTCTGACATTATACAAGAATCAATGTAGTATGTAATGAACTAATGGCTAGTCCATTAGTAGATGCTAGATGGTTTACTTTTTCTTTGTTTCCTCCCTTTTTTTGAGAGGGATGTGAGGCAATGGGGTTATGGAGGAGTAAAGAAAGGGATGAAACATATGTTTTGGGACATTTATCAACCTATGGATCATGTTTCCACTTAAAACGTGAGTTCTAATCCCAATTTAAAAATAGGGATCTTACATTAATAATTTTTGTTGCCTGTGTGTGTGTGTGTGTTGGGGGGGGGGGGGTGCCACTGGGAAATGAAAGCTTTTCAGAATTGGCAATAATGCTTGTTTACCGTCATTACTTTCTGTTGCTTGCTTAACTTCTGCCCCCCTATGATTTTTAGCTGCCAAAATTTGTTCAGAGCCATTGAACTAAAAAATGATATCGGTTGGCCAACTATGGGTTTGAAGTTTAAGTTGGGATATGCAATTGCATGGAGCTGTCATGGTCGCTACTTGAAAAGGGGAACAGTTTCAATTTTTCCTTGATATGTGCTGTAAATTAGGGAGAGAAATTGTCTATATAAAGACATACTAATCTTTGAAATTGATACTCTTAAGTCTTAATCCTTCAACTGTGGAACTGCATAACTCCATAAATGCCATTGGTTTTGGATAATTTTTACCAAAAAAAATTGAATTTATAATTAGTGACATTTAAGTGTTTACTTTTATTATTTTACCCAATTCGTGTTTTACGACCTTTATTGATTTCCTTTGCTAAAGTTTCCTCAAACCTTTATGTTTTTTACTCACACGCTTTTACCACTCTTTCAAAACTTTCTTGAATTTTATTCTTGGTTCCCTTTTAAAACTCTCTTAATTTTTACTTTGATGCTCTTTATTTTCTCACTTTACATACCTTTTTCAAACTCTTTCAACTGATTATTTTGCTATGTCCCTTAGCCTCATTTTGGGACTATGACTTTGTTGTTGTTTAGTGACATTCTAGTGTTATAAACTGGTGTGGATTATGGAGAGATTGTAGATCAACTTGATTTCTTTCCCCTTGTCTCTGTTAAATTCTTGTTTGAAAGCCATTTCAGTATTTAGTACGAATTTCGTGCTTTGTAACAAGAGGATTAGTTGAATTACAAATGAAGCAGAGGTATTTGCAACCTGCAATATTTTAGGTGATACTCCAATTTCAAGGATTTTTGTGTTCTTATGTTGTTTATATAGTTTGATAGAATTAAAGGCAGAACTCTAGATATTTATCCCTTAACCTTGATAATTTGATGGTTGTTTTCAGTAGTTTTAGTTTCATGATATACATATTCTTTGAAAAGTCTAGAGGAGCTTATTTAATAGCAGTGCACCACTGCATATCATGCACTGTTAATTTAAAAGGAAACACACATAGTACAATAGGGACAATTATTTATACTTGGATAACATTCACTAAACCATATCCACCAGGAAATGGTTATGGTGCATCAGCTATGCTTGTATTTGGGCATCTAATCTCCAGTCTCTGGTCATGGATTGGCTGCTGCTAACTGCTGAGATCTGCTTGTTTAGCACTTCTGTACACATTATAAAAAAGAATTAGCATATGCTGTTATTATATTAGAAGCCAATGTTAAGAAATTTTTGAATTCTGTTTGAGACAATATAATCAAATACTTGCCTTCCCATAGCCTTCATTGTCACTCTCGCTGTCACTGCTGTCATCACTGCACTTCTTGGATGATTTCTTCTTGATCTTCATCTCACTCTTATTGTTTCCTGATTTGTAGACTTTGTATTCTTCTATCTTCTCTTCACAGCTTACATGGTGTGAAGAGTGATGGTGGGTAGCTCCATGATGAGCAGAGTTGTGGTTGATTTCATGATGGACAGTTCCATGCTGGCTAGAGCTGTGATTGGCACAGCCATGACCATGGTGGCCAGAGCCATGGCTGACATGGCCGTGGTGGCCAGAGCCATGGTTGAAATTGCCATGATGGCCAGAGCCATGGCTGACATGTCCAAGGTGACCAGTGCCATGGCTGGCATGGCCGTGGTGACCAGTGCCATGGCTGGTATGGCCGTGATGGCTAATAGAGTGGTTGTTGTGGCTATGATGGTTTTGTGTTATGCTTCCCATGTTGTGAGTCTTGTGACCAACTTGGTTAGTTGCACATCCAGCAAAGCCTCCACTGTTGTGGTTTGCAGCTTGGGGAACTGAACACCCACTTGCTTTGTGCACTTCTTTGTAACCCTGAGAGCCATTGCCGCACTTAATTTTTTCGGCTTCGCTCCTGGACATCTGCATGCAAGCCATGGTGGTTGTGAATGTTCTGGCTACTTTAATTTTTACTTAGTGCAAAGGAGATTTTATTTTATTTCTAAGCTTGGATTTTGATGTTCAATGTGAGCTAATTAAGCAATCTTATATAGCAATCTGTAGTGTGCTGACACCACCTTCTTTTATTGCAAGATGCTTGATAGTTGGTAAGTGAGGTGCTTGCTTATCACCTTTGAATCTGCTTCCCTTTCTTCCTTTGTTTTGTCTTGTCTTCTTTTTGGGAAGTGGAGTTAAGTGACATTGATTCTGTTTTCCACTGGCATTCTAATTCAAACGATGCCATATGCGACCATTTTCATGTAATTTTGCTCTCTGCTGTTTTGTTTTGTATGATCGAGAACTTTACGGGATACGCTTTGCTATCCTGCCAGTGTACTGTGTACCTAGCTCTGAATTTGGATAGCAAGGTGGTGCATGCAAAACTTTTACATTGTATGGTATTTTTTCTGCAATTTGTACCATTTGACCTCTACCACTATCCTCTTGACTGCCCTTGATTTGCAGATATTCTCCCTCATGCTTTGTTGCATCAGTTCCTTAAGTTTATGGTCTTTGCCCCTTTTGTCAAAGGTAAAGCATTATGGACTATGTTTTCTCTTGAAAATGATTGTAATAATGTTTTTGGTGATTTGTCTCTAGCTCTTGCTATTTATAAAACTGGAATTAAGTGTTTGATTTGTATGATTTCTGTATCGAATTACAGGCACTTAAAATTGCTTATATTGTCAACTTCGTAGTGTTTTCACATTTTCTTTTCAAGAGGAAGGGAGATGATTTAAGCGCTCATATGTGTTGGTATTTTATTGGTTATTTTAGGAACAAGATAAATTACGCCAACTTCCGAGGGCATAGGGACATGAGGCTTGCCTACTGTGTACGAGACTACGAGTTGCTGTGATATGCTATGCATCCGTATCATAGGTGAATTTTTGGGACTTACAGGTATGATGGAGGTTTAGTACAGGTATATTTTGGTAATTTGGGGTTGTGATATGCAAAATTTTACATGTACCAATAAAAAATTTTGAGTTTATTGGCCGCATTAACAAAGTTAGAAGTTTGAGATAGTTAACTGTTATGCTACATGCATATAGTTCAGTTGAGCACAAAAATTATTAATCAAGTATATTTTAAGTTTATTTAGAGATGAAACTCTTCTTTTGGAGTTTTGGGTTAAGGGCTCACCATCCATGGAGTGGGAATGTCTCGAATTTTTAAGCTGCTGAAATTGAAAGTGCATATTTCTTGCCCCTTAATTGTGATAGGATGATCAGGTTTTTGTAATTCTGCAGCTACATTATTATATGCTGAGACCGAGTTTCTGATTTACTGCCTGTTAGGTTAGGTGATCTGCAATTAGATCGTCAAATTGTAGTTGTTATTGGGCGAAAATGGTAATGGCAATGGGAAAAAAAAGGTCTTTGATTTGCTCTTTTATTTATTTATTTTGGTTTGTTATGTGAAGTGTGAATGTTAGATCTGGAAGTACAAGTGTTGGTTCAAAGTTTCCACTTTGACTAGCCATCGCAAGCACGGGTTTGGTGTGATGGACTAATACTAGATTACTTTAATAAGATATGAAATTTTGACCTATTTGAAATAAGTAATTTGATGTCAACCTAAATCTAGATTGTTGTGATTGGGATATAACTTAATCAATATTTGAATTGGGTATTTAATGGTTTGAATATGAGCTTAATGGATTTAATTTGAATGAACAAAATGTTTGGCTGCTCATTTTTATGGCTCTTTTAAGTAAAACGTTATCTCAATATTTATGGGGAATCGTAAATGATTATGCAATTTAATTTACAGTGTGTTAGCCTATTAGGGGTAGATCAATCCAACCCTTTTTGAAAGCTGGCTTAAAGTCAGCAATGATTCCATACTCTGTATTCTGTAATGCATGAGGGTTAGGCTAACTGCACTCTCCAAAGGTGGTTGCAATGAATTTTAGTGGTGCACCGATTTTTAGAAATTTGTATTTTTAAGTTAATTTTATGGAGTGATGACTTCTACTTGGATAACTCTGATCTCATTTCTAGATGGTCTGACGATGAATGTCCATAGTTAATGATTCATTGGTATATGTATGCTTGAAAAAATCTGAGGAGTTTTAGTAGCATTGTACCATTGTTCATCATAAGAAACGACAACAATTAGGAAAATCATCCATTCTTACATAATACACACTGAGCCAATCCAGCTATGCTAGTAATTGGGCATTATTTATGACATACTATATTTTTTATCAGTAGCATACGATCTCCAGTCTGGTCCTGGGTTAGCTGATGCTAACTGCTGAGTTCTTCCCGTTTAGCACTTCTGTAAGCAATAGAAAAAAGTATTAGCATTGCTTGTTACATGAAATCAAGGTTAAGAAATTTTTGAAATGGGATTGAGACAAGTTAAGCAAATTCTTGCCTTCCGACAGCCTTCATTGTCACTCTCGCTGTCACTGCTGTCATCACTGCACTTCTTGGATGACTTCTTCTTGATCTTCATCTCACTCTTGTTGTGTCCTGATTTGTAAACTTTGTATTCTTCCTTCTTCTCATCGCAGCTTGTGTGGTGTGAAGAGTGGTGGTGGGTACCACCATGGTGCGCAGAGTTGTGGTGGTTGATTCCATGATGGGCTGAGCCATGTTGTCCACAACCATGGCTGGCATGGTCATGGTGGCCAGAGCCATGGCTGACATGGCCGTGGTGGCCAGAGCCATGGCTGGCATGGCCATGGTGGCCAATGCCTTGGCAGGCATGGCCTTGATGGCCAGTGCCTTGGGTGGCATGGCCGTGGTGGCCAGTGCCTTGGGTGGCATAGCCGTGGTGGCTAGTGCCTTGGGTGGCATAGCCGTGGTGGCCAGTGCCTTGGGTGGCATAGCCGTGGTGGCCAGTGCCTTGGGTGGCATGGCCGTGGTGGGGCACTGCACACCCAGCTACTTTGTGCACCTCTTGCTTGTGATCAGATGAGTAGTAACCCTGAGAGACATCGCTGCACTTCTTCTCTGTGGATTCACTCCTGGACATTTGCATGCAAGCCATGATGGTAGTGACTGGGCTGTGGGCACTTTGATTATTAGTGTATAGGATGTTTTTATGATGAGCTTGATGATCATAGTGAGCTATCAAGTACTCTTATATAGCAATCAGATTAGTGCCCCTCTGTCTTCTTTTGGTGTCTGGATACTTGGTAGTGCGATGCTTGCATTACCACCTTTGAATATGCTTCCTTTTCTCCATTTTTAATTTTATTTTTCTTTTTTAGGGTAGTGGAGTATATTGGCATTGATTCTATTTTATGGGTGTTCTAATTCAAATGATACCATTTATGACCATTTCCTAATTAATTTCTATGCTATCTTATTTTGTATGATGGTAAAAGTTGCAGGACAGGCTTTGCAAAGTGTTAAGACTTTTTTTCTATATGTCAAGATCTGAATTTGAATGGAACAGTGGTACATGCAAAACTTTCACATCGTATGGTTATTTTTCTGTGATTTGAATCGCTTGATCTTCCACCACTTGATGTGATGTTATCATCCTTTTGACTGCCCATGACTTGCTGATATTCTTTCCATTGTGCTTTGCAGCATCAGTTCCTAAAGTTTATGATCTTTGGTCCTTTGAAGGTAAAGCTTCATATATTCTTATGCTAATGACTATAATAATATTTTAGGTGATTTGTCAGACTTGTGCTATATTTTTAATTGGAATAAAGTGTGATTTTTATAATTGCTGCATACATTTCTATCTGCATACCTTTTTATCTCATATGTTATAGTTATGAGGAAGAAGCCTATTTTAAGTGTTCTTGTTAGTAGTTATTTTATCTCTTTTTTTAGACAACATTAAAAAAGACAACTTTCTAGTGTATAGGGGCATTACGAGGCTCATCTACTGTGTAAATGTGATATCCTAACGGTTTATATTTCAGGGTATTTTAGAGACTTGTAGAGGGACATATTTGGATCTTGGGTATATAAGGAGTAATTAGGTTATCTGGGGTTGCGCTGCGCAAATTTCGCTCATATCAATTTGGAAAATTTTATAGTACCCTTGTATTGTTGGAATTTCAGTTTGGTGCACAATTTTTTTCATTTATATTTTTTCTACAGAGTACATTTCAATTTTAGGCTAGATTGCCACAACTATTAATCCGTTAATTAACTGTTAAGTAGGAAAGAATTTTTGAAAAATACATCTTTGTCTCATTAAAAAGTTTTCCAATGTTTGTTCTTCCTCTTTCCTCTTCCCCCTTCCCCATTGTTCTTTCAGGATTTATCCGCTAGAATCAAATAGTCTTTTTGTTTCACTTTGTTTAACATCTTTTCTTGGCTAAAAAAAGACCATATAATGACTCTAATATCACAAAATATGTAGATCGAATAATCATCAAACAAAACAAGTTATTAGTTACCTTTATTATTTTTGTTGTGTTGATCGTATCTTTTATACATTAAATACTACTTTCCCATTTCAAATAATTGCCAATTTGACTCTTGTTCTATTTATATATTAACTTTGAGTCTCCATCTATGTTTTTTTTGCTAGTATTGTAGTATATATTACTATGTTAAATGTTGTTGGTAGCCTAAATGATTATATTTTTAATATCAATTAATAATTTTTGCTATGTCAACTAATAATTTTTGCTTGTAGATATGTAAAGATAATAATCATCATATTTGTGCATAACTGTATTAGTAAGTGTAAAAGTCAGATTGCTGTAATTTATTTTAAAACAATGGGAATATGGGTTATATTTTGATCCCAGATGAATAGAGTTTTTTATAAATAGATTCGACTAAAATCTGAATGATTATTGTACTCCATAGATTGAAAACAAGAAATTTTAAATTTTAAAGTATAGATGAAATGCAAGTTAATACTATCGAATAAATAGACTTTAGTCAACTAGAATCCCATTTTCCTTTGCAAGACATGACTTCAATTTAATCCATGAAGAGAAAAGGGTCTGGAAGCGTTAGTCATGGGTGGTGGGTGCGGGAAGAGGAATTAGGATTTACAGGGTGGATGAGAGATAGGTAGGACAGGAGCCTGGTATTGCTGGGTGCAATGGTGGTTGCAGTAGCTGAGCCATGGAAGTTGGGAAGGAGTTGAGGAGAAAGGGGGACGGGGACGGAGGGTGAAAAGAATTCTTGCATACAAATCTAAATTAAAAGGCAAACTAGATATAGTGTCAGAATTTCCTAAAACAATAATAGATTTGGAGTTTCTTGACATTAGCCTTGTTTAAAAAGTTAGAATCTCGAGACTATCAACTGATGGGATACTTGCCTACAGTTTGTGAGCTGAGCACATTATTTCATAAGTTATGACAAATTAAGATTCTTACATCCCTTGGTTTAATTGAAGATGATTCCTTGATAGAGCTAAAACTCATTGCGGGTGGGGGTGTTTAAAGTTTGCCTCTCCTTGGTGCGCACATATCTGATTGTCTAAGCTTCTGAAACTAAGATTGCAGATTTCATGCCTCTTGAATCAGATATGATTATCAGGCATTTTATGCTACAGCTACCTTTTTTTTGCTGAAATTTAGAGTGTCTAATTAAGGCCTGTTGTTGGTCGGTACTCTGTAACTTGATTTTCAAATTTTGGTTTGATAATGGAAGAAATGGTGATAGAAATAATACACTTTGATATACTTTCCCTTTCATTTCTTTCTCTGCTAATGCTATGTTGAACTTGATATCACAAAAATAGGTTCAGTGTTATTCCTAATAACATAATTACTCGAATCGGATTTAACCAATTTGAAATCATGTAATTTGATTTCACCTCAAATTTGGATCAGTGTGACTGAAACTCAACTTGCTTGAAATATGTTGGCTGGCAAGCTCCTATTTACAGTTCAAGCTGGAATTTTATCAACACGGAGCTGCCATGAATTGTTTGATAGGGGAAACCATTTTCAAATTTGCATTTATGTGTAAGATATACTAGGGGGAGAAATGGTCAGTTCAAGCTAATTAAAGTCAAATAATCTCCCATTTGATACTATTACTTAATGCTTTTAACCATGGAACGGCAATGCCATATAAATGCCATCAATTCTGCTTGAATCTACTCATAATGATATACTGTGTTAAAGTTAGTTATGAATTTTGGAGGGGATGGAGATCAATATACTTTCTTTCTCTCAGTTTCTATGCTTAATCTTTGCTTTAAAGCCAGCTCAGTAATTGGTACTTTTTATATATTTTGTAATGACATTAAGGTTGAGCAAAGTTAGTTGCAGATTGCAAAATTTCCTTGCACCTTTTGAGTGGAGTGGAAAATTATTTATGGAGAACTCTAGATAGTGATTTTGTTTTGTAAATGCTTTGATGAAGATTTTCCATAGTTTTGGGTCAATTGGTAATTATGGTTAACATGTGCTTGGAATGGTCTGCTGGAGTTTCTAATAGCGGTGCATAACGTGCACTGTTCATTAATAAGAAAACACACTTAGTAGTTAGTACAAAAAGTAAAGTCATCCATTCTTACATAGCTCACACTGAAGCATATCCATTAGGTAATGGTGATTCAGCTGTTTTAGTAGTTGGGCATTATTTATGGAAATTCTATATTTGTAAACATAATTTTATTTTATTCAGAAGCACCTAATCATCAGTCTCTGGTCTTGAGTTGGCTGGTTCTAATTGCTGACTTCTGCTTGTTTAGCACTTCTGTAATCAACAGAGAAAAAAAAAGAGTAAGCTGTAATAGACTAACTTACTGCAATTATAATTTAAGACAATTTGCAAGAACCAAGGCTTAAACTTGAGTATTTGATTCACTGATGATTGAATTACAAGGGATAGGCATAACTTGAGGTTATGAATCTCACAGTAGCTTGAGGCCACAAGTCTCTCATGTGTTTTCACTAATTTCTGGATGGTCTCTACTGCCCCCTAACTACAATACATATACTCAAGACTTAACTAGAACATGTGACATTAATTAACTAAAATAGAAACCCACAAAGGTTATGATTAAAGGAGGCTGCCTTCTTTCCTCAACTTCCCCTTAATTGGCCTTGTCCTGTTGTTCATTGTTCCTTCTCACAATTGACCCTTGCTGCTGCCCCTGTTTTGCGCGCCTGGAGTACACCAAAAGTGGTGGTTGAACCACAAAATTATTGTATCAATTTTTTTTTTCTCTCATTGCTCAATTGCTGCTCAATTGCTTGTAAACTACAATCAATTAAAGTATTGGTGACAACTAATTTGAGACGGAGTAATTACTTGTATTACTCTGTACATACAAGTATAGAACATTACAACATAAAAATTTCACAAATTGAGGGGAAGTTAGCATTAATCCTACGTTTTTTTTTCTTCTAATTTTTAAACAAACTTTAAAAAAACACGAAAATAGTTGAAAAATTATACCTCCGTTAAATATTACGTGTAACTTTGGAGTATTATTTGTGAGATATAAAATATTACAAAATTGATTATCACATCTAAAGGTAATACAAATAAAATAAAAAAAAACAAAAACAAAAAGCCCAATAACTTAAACACGTTTTCTATCCATATTCTTTACAAGATGGCCCATTTGCAATCTCCAAAAAGCAAAATAAGCCAAGCCCAGCCCAATCAACACAAACGGCCACAACCAACTCTCTTCTTCCTCACTCTCTCTCTTCGACTTTATCTCCTCAATCCTAAACCATTCTCTCTTCTCTGAAATTCCCTTTATAACCTCCTGAACATACCCATATACCACATATACCCTTCCTCCACCTCCTACTGTTACTGACGTGGCATACCCTTCTTTATCAAGGGCAATTTTGTCAATTACCACTCCCTGGGCCCAGCTGTCGTCACTCTTCAAGAACCACGCGCTGTTCATGGACACCACCACCACTACGCCGTCATCTCTAATAGTTATCCCGTCGGCTAACGGTAGATTTTCCGGCAAGATAACGGTTCTGGTGGTGCCGTCATCGGTGTCGATTTTGAACATTTTTCCGGTGTTTGATTGGACGGCTAGGATGTACTCTTTGGTGTTGACGTAAACGACGCCGTTTATGCCGCAGTAGGAGTACGGTGAGGTGTGATCTACTGTATATTGTGTGAAGAGCTTTGATTTTGAGAGGATTGAAACGGCGCCGTTTTCGGTGACTTTCCAGATGAAATTTTCGTCGGAGTTGGTGACGTAGGCGTTGCCGTAGGGGTCTAAAGCGACGCCGTTTGCGATGCCGGAGGAAGGAAGAGGAGAGAGAAAATGGAGGTCGAGGGAGGAGCGGTGGAGGTTGAAGGAGGCGAGGAAGGGTTGAGATTCGGAGTTGACGGCGGCGAGGAGACGGCGACGGCGGTGGTCAACGGCGAGGCCGAGAATGGTTGAGTTTAGGGGGATTGGTGAGGATTTTAGGGTTAGGGTTTCGGTGACGCCGGCATCGGAGACGGAGATGAAGGTGGTATCGCCGGTGCTTCGGAGTGAGGCAACGATGAAGTGTTGGGAGACAGCGTCGTATGTTAGGCCTTCGGGGTAGAGGCCCGGTGATCGGAATTTAATCGTGTGGGGTTCTCTGGCTTCGGAGGCCACGAATGATGAGAGGAGGATGATGACGAAGAGGAGAGGGAAGGAATTGGATGAAAGGTTAGACATTGTTGATCTGAGGTTTAATTTAATTTGTTGTAAAGGATGAAAGAGTGGTGTTTTTATAGGTTAGGGATGTCAGATGTGTTTGGGTTAGATGGAAAAGGATTGCAGAAGAAGAAGCCTCTTGCACAAGTAGCTGGGTTTTGTTGACTTTAAATCTTCTGGGAAAAACATGTCAAGTAAGATTCTTAATTTTGATATAATTTCATATATTTGGTCCAAAGATTGATCCATTATAATTAGGAAATTGTTTATAATTAGGAAATATTTGAGTTAGAGTAAGCATAAATTTACCAATTAGTAAGATCTATCTTTTAAGAAGTGGAAAAATCGAAAATTTAGTCAATTCTATGAAAATATCTAAATTTGTTCAATTTCATAACATAAATAACATAAATAGTAGAAATTGATAGCTTGAAACTAAAACATTAATGATTAGTCTTCATAGACTTCCTCAGGATTATAGTTTCTTTTTGGCAAATTCTGTCATTAGAAGTGTTGAAATATATCATGCGACAGAGAAAAAAAAAAAAAAAAAAAGGTAACAATATATATAAATAGCTTAAGCATAATGATCATCAACCACAATTGATTTGGTCCAATAATCTGATAATAGTCTCATACATGTGTGTCATTGTTCTAATTAGCATATGCTTGCTTTGCCTGAATAAGGGATTAGAGCTTCCGTGATTCCACTGGTAGTTGATTTCTCCAAAGCCTTGGTGAGAGGAGTCTAAACTGGCAATCTATCGTTTACAGTAGCTAATAGAATTTTTTTTCAAGTGCTAGGAGTGAAGGAAAAAAAATGTCTTTTGTAATTTGTGCAATACTACTGTTAATTCGAGAGATTAAAGTAGTACTATCTTCTAAAAGCTAATAGAGATGATTGGTAACAATCAAATTACTTTACTTTGTTTAAGCTCAATTGGTTTCTTAACATTTGAAGATGATTTGCGTTTGCTAGACAGAAAAAAATTAATATGGCATGTACACCAGAGCAATTAGCACTCCAACTAGGCATGAGTATATTGATTGAAGTACGGAGCATGTCATAAGAGCAATTAGGACATAATAGAGAATGGCTTGATGATACAGTACAATTGTAATACACCACTAGCAAACTGCACTCCTTTACTAAGTTGCCCACGGCTTGTTGGGTTTTTATTCTAAATATTACATAGTACATATTGTTACCAGAATTCTGAATTCTGAATTACAAGATATTGGTTCCAGAATCCGGATTCTGGAACACTGATTAACAGGGACATTCTTTGCCTCAGAAAAACTGCAAACCACAATAAAAAGGACAAATAAGAAAATATGTTAGGACAATACACACATTTACAAGCTTATAAGTATGGAGTATTATTATGTTAAGTGAAATTTCAAAATGTTTTCGTGGTAAAAAAATTACCCTCTTGCATGGGTCGCAGGAATTATTGCCAGAGAAATAGCTACTCTCATGGTTCATGGCGTAGTTAGAAGCTAACGCACCACCACCATGGTTGTAGCCCTGCCCATAGTGATTCCCCATCCCATTGTGGTGTCCCAGCCCATATCCTGTATTGGCATGGCCATAGCCGGAGTAACCAGCCATCTGGCTACTGCACATATCATTCCCAAGTCCGTGGTGGCTGTTGTGGGCACTGTGTCCAAGTCCGTGGTGGCTGTTGTGGGCACCGTGTCCCATGTACCCCATGCCCCCCATTGAGCTGTAAGAGTAGTTTTCATTCTCAGCCTCACTGTAGGAACTCTGGTAGCGGTAGGCCATGGTGATTGGTTTCTAGTTGAGGCTTTGCAATTGATGCTTGATTTGGCTTGATTCAATGCTGGAAGCGACTGCAAATTGGTATGCTTATATAGCGGGAAAAGTATAGTGAATAACTTCTTTTTTTCTTTTCTTTGTTTACTCCAAATCATTTATGAAATTTATGCTCATAGAGAGTGAATCTCAAATAGTATTGCCCTTTATAATATATGTCCACGTTTTAGGATCTGTTCAATATTTAACTACTGGTAAAATTTGTGGTGCTGGCATGATATATATTGTCTGGTAGAGAGTAGTGACTAAAGCGTAGAGTTAATTAATATATAAACTACAATTAAAGTCATCTTTAGAACTTATTCTGGTTTAAATCTCTCTTGTGCTATATTGTGTAGTTGTGCTTGCCTTCTATCTTTGAATCTTATGCTCACTGAGACTGAATTTTAAATTTGTAGCCTCTTTTAGTGGTCACTGGAATTATATTCAAATTATACCACTTGTCAGCCCATATTACAGATTCTTTCCAGTTTCTTATTACTGAATGACTTTAGTGGATTATGGCACATAATCTTGTTTGGTGATCTGACCATTGTAAATGGAGGATCAATATCAAGGTTAAATATACAACTTAGTATTATTTTTTAGAATTTAGTTGGGCACAGGGACAAGTTTCAGGTTACTTATTTTAGGCCTTTCCTATTTTACTTTTTCTGTTTGGAGGAGGGTCTTCGGTTTGGTAGTGACGATTGGCAAGGTTGTGACTGTAAGTGGAGATCGTTCTGTGGATTGCAAGTATGCAACTTCCATTTGATACGCTTATACAAATACAAAATCGATGCATGTCTGTCCTCCTTGACAGTATTCTTCTACAGCCTACAATATTTTGCAGAAATGCGCATACCTATGAAGGTCTTGTGGCCAAAGGAATTCAATTGTCGTGGCATCTCCCACAACATATTAACCTTGGCCAGATTGTAGGCTTAGCATAATAGACTACTTGGTAAAATTATAGTTAACATTACACTTTTAGCTGGACTGTTTAGAATTTCTGCCCCTTTGCATTGTTTAGTTTAGTTTGTAGGATCAAGTGGGCATCTGCGACTCTGCTTAAATAAGGACTAGCAAACACTCCCTAGATTTAGAACTGCCGAAAAGCAGTAAAGCAGTGACAGGGCCTCCCTAGATTTAGAACCGCCGAATAGCATTGACAGGGCCATCATCATATACTCTTTACTATGCCTCAAGTATATACCAATCTGACAAGATAAGTAGATAACTAGAAAACTTATTCCAGCAAGTAAAAACAGGAAACCACAAAATTTTTAATGAAGGTAGAACAATAGAAGTTGAGTTTAATAATGTTAGTTTTCTACATATGGGCTGTCTATTCTATAGCAAAGTGGCTGGGATTATAATTAGAAATACGGTGTTTTGTTAAAGACATGCTAAAGACTTGAGTTTTGTATAATTGTATGGAGCTGTGACTCGTAGATTCTGCTAGCCTAGCTTGAGAAAATTATACCTATCTAAAGTTTATGTAGTACTATCCATATGGCTGATATGAATAATCATGCCATGCATCCCATTGATGGCTTAAGTTGCTTCATTGCATAATAATTAATAATTGGAAGTTTGGAACAATTTTTTGCTGTTATATACAATGTATTATCTTGAATTGTATATTTGGTCAGTTGAAGGACTGAATTGTTTGTTAATATTTCGAACAACTCATAAGGTCCAATTACTTTGTTTCATGAAAATTGTGGGATATTTGAGTTCAAATTTTGTAACTGGAAGAGCAGTTGACAAATTTAATCTAGCTTATTTTCCTGGAGGAGGCAAATTCTGATGTGTTCAATGTTCTGCTCTACGGGAGTAATATTATATTTTTGCTTTTATTCTTAGGTGCTCATTATTTTCATAGTGAGGTTGTCTGGGAAGCTATACAAATTTGTAATCTGTCTCTATATATTTGGAACACATTTTTGAGGTAATGAAATTCAATCCATTAGGTTTTTCAGGTTATCTCCTATTTCTTCTGATATCTTTCTCTTCTTTTTTTTCCTAAACTTTTGCTAGTGGAACACTGGCAGTAGGCATGCACTTAGAACTTTTGTACCATGTATGCTGAGTAGTATGTTTGTGATCTTGATCTAGTTGCATATTCTACAAGGCGGCTTGATGTCAAATGAAGGTGATGATTTATCAAAGATATTGGTTTTGTCAATATCATAATAATCTATGGATCTATATGATTGGCCTTATTAAACCTTGTGTCTTATCAGCTTTATGGTCTGATCATTGATTTTTCCTTTTCATATATTCATAAGAAAATCAATTTCTAATTTTGCAAGTTGTAATCTTTGTTGTCGTAAATTATTTGGTCAACTAAGTTTTCTTCATTGTGTACTTCTTAAATAAGTAATGTTGGGAACTAGAGTGAAAAGCAGTTAAGGTCCTGTTCTTTTGAGCTAAATTGAACTGAACTGGACTATAAGATATAATATCATACAAGAAAAGAAAATTGTAATAGACTGATTTTCTGGCTTTATATTTCAGATTGGACAATGCAAGTATATATTGATTGGAAAATGGCAAAAGGTTTACAAATGATAGGTTTAAAAGCTTTAGGCTGTTACTCTCAAAATAATTTGAGGTCTTGAGGCTATAACTCTCTAACAATGGCTTCAGGCCATAACTCTCTTAGGTTTCCCAATACAAATTTCTGCCTATCTTCCTTCTACTACTCTCTAGCTATTTATACTACTTAGCTAGGCAAGTACAACTTCAATTGCTACCTTTACTAATATTAGTCTTCATCCCTCAAAGCCATCAACTACCCCTAAAAGCAACAACTACTGCAGCTTTGAGGTAGTGCTTCCCATTGTGGTGGTGTGTTAGCCTACCCCTTTTTTCTGCCTCTTGCTGCCAGTGTAAAGAAAAGGTGGTGTGTTGGCCTGATTCGTTACAGAATTATATGCATAGAATTTCTTTTAGGCAACACAACCACTAAATTGCTAATCTATAGATTGATTGCTTTCAGCCGTTGATCAATCCGTAAATCGTTTGAGTTACAGTCTGACGAGTCTTTGTCCTTTATTTTTTAGCTTAATTTAATTGATAGAATTGGAGGTGATCAAGAGTATTGTACTCTATGACCCGTGAGTCGTTATTTTACTGTTTTCGTATCTCTGTCTTCTTGTTGCTTAATGGGGTATACTGTAAAGAGTGATATGAAATCTTAAGTGGTTCTTGACAATTGTTGTGCTGTACTTGTCAAAAAAAAAAAAAAAAAAAAAAAACAATTGTTGTGCTGTAATTCTGTGTGTAAAGCTACTGTAGATCCTTAAGTCACGAGTCAACACATAATCCCTTTATAAAAAGAAAAACGCCATTTTGATTCATTGGAACAATTGATTACATTACAAATCATATTACTAATACATTGTAGGAAGCATCCTGCCAATTTTAGTAGCAAATAGAACACATCTAATTTCTTAGGGGCAATTTATTGTACTAATCCCCATACTTGATGACTTGATGTTAGATCTTGCAGTCAGGAGCTGGTTTGGTGCATTAATCTAGTACATCTGCAAATGAGAAAAAATTAATGAACGGAAATTGGGTGACAGAAAAATTATGAGAAAACAAATTTGAAGCCATTTAAATAAGTAATGTTTAGAATTCATACCCTTCTGCATGGGTCGAATTCATTTTCATAAACAATCCGCTCTTCCTTCCTCTCAATAACCTCAGCTCCACCATGGTGGTGGTGGTGGCCATAGCTGGGGATGGTGCTGGACTCATATACAACATCAGTTACCACATTGTGGGGGTTGTGGTGGTGGTTGTGATGGTGGCCTATTGGGTAGGCAGGCCTTCCATATCCACCCTCAACCCTGTTGAATTCAGAGTAAGAGTCACATGGGGTGTCACGGATGACCTCCCTCTCGTAGTAGTTGTTTCCGTAGTATGCCATTGAGGATTTTCTTAGTAGTACTTCTGGTGCTTGTTTTTGTTGCTTGGTGAGACTATAAGGAGCAAGATGATGTGCTTATATAGAGGTAAAAATGGGAATATTGTGGGGTCTTTTTGCTGCTTGTATGCCTTGTTTGAATGCTTTTATTCTTTTTTTATGGTGAAGATATATCATCATAGTGCTAGATGCCTATTATCTTCATGCAGATGACTATGGCATCATTTAGATCAAGTTGCCAAGATGTCTTGCAGTAGCAAAATAGGGAATAATTGCCCATTTCCTTGCTTTATATCTTGTTCTGATCCTACTTTCTTTTCCTGAAGTAGGCAAATACTGACTTATTCCATTTGCTTGGTGTAGGTCATTTTGAATTGCTCCTTTGGCTCTTATTGCCTTCACACTGATTAATGATGATTATGACATCTGAAGTTAAGTTGCAGAGGGCCAAGACTCCCACTTAAAATCTGTCACTATTCGGAACCTGTTCTTGAGGTAATAAAAGATGCTTCCAGTCACCCTTCTGATCAAATAGTTCAATAAATTATTTAATGTATTTACTAAATGATAATTAACCAAGTGCTGCTGCAAAATGCTGCTCTACTTAGCATTATGGGTCCAGAATAATGATCCAAAATGTGTTATATCACCAATTGTGTGACATAAATTTTTGACTTGTTCACAAGACATAGTACTAATAAAACTTGAAAAATTTATTGTAATGTTATTTGCTCATTATGCCCATATATGTCTTCTCTTGGGGATTGTCTATGCAAAACTTCAGCTTACTAGCCTACTTTGTTGATCAAAAATCTTCACTGTTTTAATTGATGGAGTGGTAAATCAAATTTCAGCATCACATTGACGAAGTGATCGAAGTTGAACCATTGTATTGAAATCTACTCCATTCAGATTATCTGAAATAGGCGCTTTGTTAAAGAGTTGTGAAAGCTGCACCCACTATCGCAGCTACAAAGAATCAAAACATTATAGCTTGCAGGATTCTCTACAACTCTCTAGTACTTCGAATCTATCAGGTAAAGTAAATACACTGTCTTCAATATAAATTTTTTAACTCATTGTTGCCTGTAATTTTAATTATAATCAAATACATCCTACCACTCCTTTCAGAATATTATCTCTTTGGTCTTTGAAAGAGGGGTATAATCATAGAAGTCTTGACTAATCTATATCCATAGGAGATGCATGTGTTTTTGTGATATCCATGTCACTGCAAGTTGAGGAATATGGCTTGTTACATCTAATTAAGTATGCTAATTAATGAGGAATTATTCTGATTCCTCTCGTTATATCAGGAAAGATACACTGAAGAACACGTATAATTACTTTAATTGTTCTTGGCTTTGTTACCATTCTAGCTGCAAGTTTGTGATCTGCTTTTATCACTTTTCCCTTCATGTTTTGGTTAAATAAACAAAATCTTAGGTTTGCAAACCAGTTGGTGCAATTGCTGTCTTTTCTACAATTTTTTTTTCACTTATAAAATCCTCGAATAGTACCTGTACCAGAACTGGAGAAATAATACCAAAAACCAAAATAAAACATAGTTAGGCCTTGTTTTCTTCACCTGATTATTGCTGAACTTATATTTATTGAAATTAAATTATTTTTGCTAAACTTAAATTATTTTAATACTAAACATAAATTAGTTACTCAATATTATTTAAATACGATGGAGAACAGGGCCTTAGTGGTATTAGTCAAGCTCAAGGACCACAATTATTGTCCACCTTACCAAACATGTTGTTTATGGAAGTCAATATAACTAAATTTGTAAAGGAAGAGCAAAAAAAGTACAGATTTACAAGTTCAATATGTTCAAGTTGATGAGGTTAGAACGAGACGATTAAATTCTCAAGTTTAAAACCTGACAGATTCAGTTTATTGGGGAAAGCAAATGATAGGGAGAGAGTGAACTTTGAGTAGAATACTCACCCGATCAAACCTACCTACATCAAACTACTTGTGGCTACAATTATCCGCTTATATCAAGAATTTGATAATAACCTGATTATTTGTTCATTTACTGATCATCATCTCTCCTTCTGCACCCAAAAGGCTTCTTTTTATAGCTGTTCTTCACTTACAAGTTTCAAATTAGTTTCTCCATTTGACATTTTAAGGTCAAACTTTATTGGTTTTGACTGCATTTTCTTACTAATATGTACAAAAAAATTGAATATTATCGATATTGTTAGATTTTTTAATGTGTGTTTTCAAAAATATCAAATTTGTACTTTTATTTGTACATAATTAAAGATATTATCAGTAGACACACTAAGAGAAAGTTCTTAGAACATGCTTGATTGATAAGATCACTTCTTCCCTTTACAATACGCCTTTCTGCTTCCTAGACTTTTTCTTCTCTGGAATGTCTGACAATTGATTTTTGTATTTGATAACACTGCTTAGCTAGGGATAACATTGTGTACATCTTGTCCTCTCTAGACTTCATGTCCTCATTATTGACAGGAAATATGCTAATTATTGCTGTTGAATTAGAGTACTATTATTTTTATAACTCTGAGCTTCATGATACATTTTTTTTATAGGCATATTAATCATAAGATAAGTCTGATGTGATTTATCTGTATTTGTTTTTCGTTTGTTTGTTTGTTTGATTTTTTTTTTTTTTTAGCTGTTATATTGAAAACTTTATAAAAACTGGACAAGAATTAATCCATTTCTTTAGGTAAACTATTGAATTAAAACTTCATTAAAAGTAGAGTACATCATTAAACAACATAATGTAAAGTTACAGCACAATACCAAACCCTAGAAACTAGCCCATGCCAAGAGGCTAAGGGGTGATTTTTATTTTACTTATAGTTGCTGTCACTTTCCCTGAATCATGTAGGCACGCAGCAGGCATTACTTAGTACATCTGCAAATCATAAAAGAGCCATATGAATAGAGCAAGTTAGGCGACAATATAATCATACAAAAAAGAAGAACATTGTTTAACTAAAACTTATATAGAAATCTTTAGATATCATTATGAGCTTTTAGAGTCAAATATCTTGAAAACAAAAACTATATTTTATGAGTGATTCCATGGTTCCTTTAGTTTCCCTGCTCAATTTTTTTTAAAATTCTTAATAGAAGTGTTTGTAATGTCGACCAACGCTTGAGACTTGTAAAAAGTAGTTAAAACCAAAAGAATGAACACCTATAAGTAAACCCTAAATAAATAAGTAAAAGCTAAGAAACACATACCCTCCTGTATGGATCATAGGTACTGTCAACAATACGCTCTTCCCTCCTCTCAATGTATTCAGTTGGACCGTGGTGGTGGTGGTTGTTGTGGTTGTGTTTGTGGCCCCCAGACATGACTTCACTCACAATTTCCTTTACAACTCCGGCCACCCCATTTTGGTGGTGTTGGTTTTGGTTGTAGTTGTGGTGGGGTACACGGTTTCCATATTCATCAATCCTGTACTCAGCTGAGTAGTTGCCATATGGACCCTCACGAATGACCTCTCTGTCAGCCTCGTAGTAGTTGCTTTCATAGGGACGGTTAAGGTATGACATTGTTGTTGGTTTGCTTAGGAGTGCTTTGGGACTAATGCAATGAATTTTTTTTTTTCTATGCTTTAGTAAGATAAAGATAACACACTGAGATGGAGGTCCTTATATAGTGGTGAATATGGGGATATCTTTAGGTACATTTTCTCATTTACTTGCATGAATCGATATTTTTTTTATTCTCCTCTTTTGGTAAAGGACTTGCCAGCATTCTAAGATGCTTTTAATGTTCATCTAGATGATTGTGGCATCTATAAGGCCGAGTTGCAGACTTGTAGGTGTAAAAAAACAAGTGAATAATCGTGTCCATTTGCACTTTAATGTCTTCTTCGAATCCAACTTTCCTTTCCTGAAGCAAATTCTTTTTTACTACAATATCTTGGTGAAGGGAAATTTGATATGCTCCTTTGACACCTAATATTTTTCATGCTGAGAATTATGGAATCTTTGAGTTGAAGTTTCTGAGCTGTCAAATTATTAATGTTTAGAACCTATTCTTGACCCTTGTTTGATGAAAGAAGCTTAAGGTCACTCTTTAAATCAGTCAAATCGGTGATTAATTTTCTTATTTATTTTGTTCCTTGTCTTCCTTTCTTAGTATATTTTTCACAATGATTTTTGTTTTATTTGAGCCAAATTGCTATTGCAGACAACCTTTTTCTGTCCAACATGCTAATTCAAAATGTAATTCACCAAAAATGTGAACTAACATATCGAATTGTGAAATAACTGAAAAGGCTCTCAGGCATATAGAAGATATTGGAACATTAACATGAACTTGTAAATTTTTTCTTGTATTTCATTGTTGGCTCGATTTGCCAATCAGCAAAGAAAGTCATTTGTATGAAGCTTTTATTTACTGGCCTAATTTGGCAAACTAAAATATTACTGTTTTGGTTGATTGGTAAATACTCTTTAACTTTTAGTGTTACTATTGATGATTAGTTTTGTGTTGAACAGCTATTGGTGCAGAACCCAATTTAATAGTCTGAAATAGGTGCTTTGTAAAAGAAGTGTGAAAGAAGCAGAACTTTCTAGCAATCAAGATTCCTCACAACTCTCTTGGATTCGCCTGGTAAGTGTTCACTCTTTTCTTTCAACATTTTCAAATCTGTATCATTGATCATGATCAAAGGTAATAGGCATTTCTTGGAAGTACAGACATACAGGGCAATGCAATTGATCAAATATGATTTTTAACCATGTATATTTCATTCTCACGTCTTTATCCATGGATGATGGTTATATTCTGTTATTTATGTCTTTGGAATTAGCTGAGAAACATGGACTTTTAAAATTGAATTAATTGGTTTGAATATAAATCTATAAAATTCTATTGCGGTCATTAGTAGAATATTAGTAGAATATTAGAACATGGTTTCATAATTCATACATGAGAGAATGTGTTCCAACTTCTAAGTGTTTGGTCCCATGAATCATATCCGCTGCCATTTTATTATTTTCACTTATCAAAATGCACTTATATTTTTGAGCCTTCATTCAGTAATGAAACTTTGTAGTTGGGGAAAGAAGACTGAAATTTGGTTGATGCTATAGATAGGGATTCAGTTTGCACATTGCAATATTTGGACTTTATATATGTTATTTTTTTCGGCCTCTTTCATCTAAAGATTCTATACTAGTAAGTGATAGTTGATCAAAAGGGCCATAATGGTTTTTGACTTTTTTCCACCCTGTTAAGCAATCTATTTTTCCGGAAGGCAAACTTTAACCAATTGATTGATTCATGAACAGATCAAGTTATGCTGTCCAAAAAGTACTTGCTCTTAACAACTAGTGATGCATGATAGGTTTGGTCTAGACTCTAGAGTGATTGAGTTTGGTAGTCTTTTAGCTAAATGTAAAGATGAACCAAAATTTGCATATTAAATCCAAATATATTAAGTAAATAAGGTTAGAAGAAGAAGGTTTATGCAAGGTTTTTGCTATAAAAATAAAAAAATTATAAAAAAAAAAAAAAAAAAAAAAGTCTGACTTTGATCACACTGCCTTCTGCTATTACTATAAAGGCTCAAATCAAGGATATTGATTAAAGACTGAAGTTCTTTTGCCAGACTCCATGAGTTTTGAAAGCTATAAGTTCCAGAATCTTATCCAGGCACTATTTTTGTTGGTTGCCAGTTTAATCATATACAGTCTAAGAGCCATCCTTTATGACAAGTTTCTTCACTAAACACTATCTTCAGTCCGAAAGTCTGCACAGAATAAGAGTTAATATTTATCAATTAAGCTAGGCTGTTGCTTTCAAGTTTTACATTCATCCTAATCTCATCACTTTGTAGTAGGTGGATTTTGCATTTTTGCCTGTGCTGGTTAGAGGGGGGGGGGGTGTTGAACCTTAATTTCATTCTTTGTTCTTTAATCTTTATATCTATCTAGGATAGTAAATAACACAATGAACTCTTTTTATAGCTTTATTAAGATTGAAAGGAGATAAATCTACAACTACCAGTAATCCAGTATTAAGAAACTGGTTTCATATGTAGTGCACTAGTGCAGAACTGCAGATTATGAGCAAGATTATATTTTGTTTTATGAACGAATAATGGGTGGAACTTATCTTGCAGGATGTTGATAGACATCTTGTTCCATCCTTTAAACATGCTTATTACTAGTCTGAAAACCTCCTCAAGTTCTGTACAATTTGATAATGATCTTGTAACTGCCTCTTGAATGTGTTTGTTGCATTTGTGCTGCTCAAACACTTGGGAGTTGGGGTCTGTCATTTTTGTAGTCTAATCCATATCCCATAATTACATAGTACATAAAAATTATTTTCTGGATTTATGCAAAGTGCATCATAGATTTATATCATATATTCATATAATAGCTGGTTTAGGCAAAGTGTGTATGAAAAATAAAATGCAGCTGTTGTTCAAATTCTTACTTCTAACTGATTTGTTCATAATTTGCAGATGATGAAAATGGAAGCAAAGAAAATTTGACAGACATGTTTGTTATATCCTCTAAATCTGAAGCCGGCTTAAACATCATATTTTGAGTCTGAAAGTGTCCAAAAAAGTCTGTTCAGAAATTTAATGATCTTGTGAGTACCTTCTGAATGTATATGGCTAGCTTGCATTTGTGCTAATCAAACATATTGGTCATTGTAGTCTTATCCTTTATTTCAGCTAAATGAAATTAGATTTTATGCTTCTTTCCTGTCTACGGACTAGTAACTGATTGTCTACTGCTTATTAATTTTTAGAAACATCTGATTGCTGATTATTTCAGCACTAGTACCCTCTTAATACCAAAAAGTTCTTAAAATTTATTTGTTTCGGATATCTCAAAGTATTAAACACTCAAAATTATATTCGGGATAAGGTTGAGTACATCTTGTCCTTTTTGGACTCGGCCATAGAGAAGAGAATTGTTAGTTCATGCTGTTAAGGGCATGGGATTGCTTTCTGAAGCAAGATCAGGATCTGCAAGGAAGGCTAATATTGATTTAGTGCAGTCTCATATCATTTGACAGGAAATGACTCCCTGTTTTAGAAAGCAAAACACCATATATTATAACTTCATAATGGAACCGAGATACAAAGTCAAACAACAGTAGGTTACATTACATGATAGATAAGCACACATTGTACCGAATACCATCCCTTAGCGACTAGCCTATGTCTAGAGGCTAAGGGGACATTTTATTATACTAATACTGTAAGGGTCATGAAGGTTCCAAGCCTTAGTACATCTGCAAAACAAAAAATAGTGAATTAGCTGATGGAATAATCATTCAGAACAAAAAAAATAAAGTAAATAAGTAGAAGTTGAAGAAACACATACCCTCCTGTATGGATCATAGGCAGCATCAACAATGCGCTCTTCCCTCCTTTCAATGATCTCACCAGGTACACCAAGGTGTTGGTGGTGGTGGTGAGCAGGGACTTCACTCACAATCTCAGTTACGGTGTTTCCCAAGCCATTGCGGTGGTGGTGGATGCGGTTTCCATATTCATCCACCCTGTAGTCAGCTGCGTAGGAGCCATATGGACCTTCACGGATGACCTCTCTCTCAGCCTCATAGTAGTTGTTTCCGTAGGGGCGGTTGACGTATGCCATTGCTGTTGGTTTGCTTAGGGGATTACTACTATGATTGATGGTTTGCTTTGTTTGAGTGAGAGATGCAAATTAGCAATGTCCATGCTGTGCTTATATAGTTGAGAAAATAGGAATCATATCACTTCGTACTTTGCATGTTTCATGACGTGACGAATCTATTCCTTGTGTTTTTCTTTTCTTTTTATGTCCTAATATTACGGTTTTACACTATTATTATAGGACTATTATGATTTTGGTGGAGCCTTGCTGGCACAATCTGTTCTAGTAGTTGATATTGTTAGAGATTATTTTTCTTTTAATTACTAATATAAATTATGAAAATATGATATTCAGATATTACACATTAAAATGATTCTAATAGGATTTAAATGATAATTGGTTATTTATTTATTTTTATTAGTACAAATAGATGGTCAAAGTTACTAAAGTTTGGCTTTTTTATGTGAGTTGAACAAAAAGAACGAAAGTAACAGATGGCTTTTTTTTTTTTTTTTTTTTTTTGTGTATATTATTATACACATTTTAGTATAACATATAATCCTTGTCCAAAAAAAATTAATTACTACGTATGAAAGATAGTTACATGAGTAATAATTATCTATCTTAGATGGATATAGGATTAAAAAACTATCAGTACAAAAATTCTCAAACAATATTAAGGGTATGTTCACTTCAGCTTAATTTCAGTTCAACTCCTAATTTCCTTCTCTTATAAAATATTTAGTTCAGTTCAGTTCAATTTAGCTTCAATCAGTTTAGTTCAGCTCAAGTCATCAGTAAATATGAACAGGCCCTATTATGCACTAATTTTGCATGAATTTTATACGGAGTAGTAAACTTACTAACTGTAAAATACTCAATTATGAAGCATTTTTTTTATATAGTTTTTAGTAGAAATTTTTTCTTTTTCCTCTTAATCGGAATTTATCTTGATATTATAGATCTTCAAAAACTTGTGAAGGATCTCAAAATTTTTTAGATTATCCTCTTATACTTTGTCTACTAAACGCGTAATTTTAATAATAAATCAGACAAGAAGTGTATCAACATAGATGTTTGGACCTTTGATCTGTACTCTCAAAAAAAAAAAAAAAAAAAAAAAATTAATGTTCAAAAAAAACTTGGAAGTTAACTAGAAACTCATTATCGAATAAAACTTTATTTTCCTAAGTAGATAAAAGTGGAATTTAATTCCTTTGATATTTGTTGTTAAGATGTATGAACATACACTTGGAGTTATGCTGCTGAAATTGCGATGTTATAGGCACCAAATCTACAATATATAGTATCTTTCTTGGTTGGTCTAATTGTCTGAAGATGACTGATGATTCTTTTGTCATTGTATTAGAACTTGTTCTCATATTATGAAAACTACTTCCACTTAATTTTCTCCCTTTTTTCATCTTTGTCGTATTATTATTAGTGCTTAAGTTTTATTTGATGGATTGTTCTCATTTTATTTTCTTACTTTTATTGTACGAGATGGTCGATCAAGATGCTATTTCAATTTTAGGGGTGAGATAGCTTTTTAATATTTTGCAAATGAATACATAGTGTGAATTAACTTTCATCTCTTTACTTGCTACTTTTGTACTGTCACGTTTATTTAAAGTGTGGAAGATGTATGCTAATTTAAGAAACCTTCACTAGTTTGAACTAGGATAGCAACGGGTCGGATTCGGAGCAGATTATGCTAAATCCGATTCCGACCCTACAGGAAGTCAGAGACTAAATCTGACTTCGACATCTGACTCTGAAACTCCGACTCCGACTTCAATATCCAACCTCCGACTCTGATTTGACCCGACTACGAGTTTTTTCGTTATTCAATATACTTTGAAAAATTGGCCTATTTGGGTCTTTACAACCCACACCCCAATGCCTCCATGACCCACACCAAAATCCACGATCTATCGGAGTCGGATTATCTGTCATAGTCGTCGGATATATTTTGGAGTCGGATTTTTTTGTTATATTTTTTGTAGGGTCCGACTCGGAGTCGAATTATGTTAACAAAGTCGAACTCGGAGCGGATTTTTTAACCTCGGATCGGGGCGGAGTAGGGTCGAATTCAGACTGGATTGTCATCCCTAGTTAAAAGAAAAAAAAAAAAAAAAAAAAAAAAAACTCATAGTAGTTTGAAATGTAAAGTTGATTCAATTGTGCTATTTTAATCAGTTAAGGTAAATAACTCATTAAATTGTTGAATTTGAGGCCTAGCTAACAAATATGGACAAAGAAATTTAATAAATAGAATGACCTTCACCTTAAACATATTCAGTAACAAACTAACAACTTTTTTTTTTTTTAGGAAACCAGACGTGACAAATATTATAATACTACAAGACCATCTCCAATGGTGAGACTCAAATTTTAGTATTGAAATACAAAATGAGTTGTTTTTTTACCTCCAATGGTGATATCATATTCACTTCTCAATTTAGCAACTCATTTGAAGCCTAATTTCCCAATTGTGAGACTTTCTAAAATATACAAATGTCACTTTCAATTTATGGCTCACCAAATCCATTTCTTTTTTATTATCAAATATTGTAAGATTAAAAAAAAGGTAAAACTTAAATAAATTACAAAATTTATTAGAATATTGATAAGGACTTGCACGTTTTGTCAAATGAGACTAAAAGTTGGGTATCTAAACTTAGCAATTTTCTTTTAAAGTTGTTAATTTTAGATACCAACTTATTGGTATATATTGCAAAAATACTCTCTCCAAAAAATACTCACTTAAGTCTCACCATTGAAAAGGGTCTAAAGATCAATCTCCGTCAAAGTCAACAAACTTTAGGAAAAAGGACCAACATATACAAACTTATCACAATCTCTCAAAATTAGTTACAAAGACATACAAGCAAGCTAAGTTTATTTTTCTCAAAAGATTATAGTGGATATAATTATGTTTACGTTCTTTATGAATAATTTATAGTGGCCGATTGAAAGGCTACAATAATATTTTAATGATTATGTAGTTCATAATTGACTTTATTTTTTTTTTTGTTTCAAATAATAAAGTACAAAGTATATAGGTATATATATTAATTGGTATAAAATAGTATCATTAACATTTTCTTTTATTTATATAATATAATTTTATTTATGTAATATTTATTTTTATTTTATAATTTCTTGAATTTATTTATTTATTTATTTTTATATTTTTTATGTTACATTAAAAATTTTAAAACTTTTATTTGCGTTGTAGATATTATAAGGGGTGGCAAACCCAAACCACAACCAATCCTATGAAGAAAAAATTTACATAAGCTTATACTACGCATAAGTTAACTTTTTCATAAGCTTATACTTAAGTAGTTAAGTTCTTGTATAACTGGTTATCTAAACTATAAGTGCTTGTATGTGCATGGTTTTTTCTTCATGATGACATTCGCCTAATTCGCCAGTTTAATACTTCTAACTCTAAACCTATAGACAATCTCTTTTTTTGTTTTCAGTTTTCTGTTTTTTTGAAAACTAAAAACCAAAAACAGGAAACAAGAAAAAGGTGTTTCCACTTTTTGGTTGTTAGTTTTCAAAATTATCATAATTTTAATAAATTTGACTAATTTTTTATTCATTACATGATATATATCATATGATTTAAAAAAACAAAAAACCAAAAAACAGAAAACCACATTGATGCCAAACGAACCCTAATCAATGGTTTTGAAATAGAATTTAAAAATAGAATATAAATGGAAATGATGTGGAGGAGTGACAAATGAAGAGATAGACCGCTAAAGTGTTTTTTTTTTTTTTTTTCCGATTTTTCCTAATTGTTTGCTCATCTTTAATTAAAAATCAAAGTTCATTAACTTTGACAGTAAAATTCAATAAATTATAGGAAGAAAAAAAAAACATATAAAATCTGAATATATTCATAATCGGATATATTATTTGAAGATAGTGAAAATGATGCAAATAATAAAGGACGGAGAGGAATAACATCGATGTCATCCTAAGATGGTCTCTTTCAGTAGAAGTTGGATTCGACACGAAATAAACTAAGCATTTCCAAATGAACCGACTCTTAAGTATGCATGCATGTACTTTGCACCACTATATAAGCACACCATGCACGTTATCCCTTTTGCATAACCTCGAACATCAACCAAAGCAATACAAAACTACAATTCGATTAAGAGCTTATTAGAATTGTAAACCATCCAATAACCCACTATGGCATACGTGAACCGCCCCTACGGAAACAACTACTACGAGGCGGACAGGGAAGTCGTCCGTGAAGGTCCATATGGTGGCTCGTACTCATCCGAGTATAGGGTTGATGAATATGGTAACCGTGTGCTTCCGGTTGGCCACCACAATGAGGTTGTGGCTGAGGTTGTGACTGATGTCGTGCCAGGCCACCGCCACCATCACCACGGTGGGCCAATCGAGTACATCGAGAGGACTGGTGAGCGCTATGTTGACAATGTCTATGATCCCTACAGGAGGGTATGTCTTCCAACTATTATTTTTTAAATTATAGTTTCTGTTTTACATATAATATTATACTTTCTTCGTTTCAGATTAGATAATACAGTTTAACTTTAGTACTATTTAATTACGGAGTAGTATTTACATAACTTGTTTTGACTTCATTTTATGATTTCGTGATAAGAAAAAATATAGTCACATTCAAATCTCGTAACTAACTATACATATAAAGTTGTAACTGTATTATATAGTATGTAAAACAACATTTGTTTTACAAGAAAAAAAAAAAACTCTCAAATTGAAGTTAAATCAATTTCCATCATATTTATTAGGCTTAAAATTTTCTTTTACTGGTATTTGTTTTTAATTAATTCTGTTACGTAAAATTTGTTCTTTGGCAATGAAATAACGTTCTTTTCGTATTTTGCAGACCTACTAAGAGCCAGTACGACGTAGCAACTAATTATGAGTATTATCAGAAGAATAAAAAAGACCTAGTTAATTTGCCTTAGGCTTGGGCAAATTACTGCTGTATTATTACCTATTTGGTAGAGTTTGTGATCTGAGATCATGTATTAATCTATTATAGTTTATCTATACGACTATACTTTGTTTGTACTCCTCGTTTATTATAGATTATAAAACTATAGTTAATCATATATTGTGACTAACACTCTTGAACTTCATTTTGCTTAAATGGTGGAGTTTTGGACTTTCTGGGGTGAGGACTATCAAAAAAGTCAAATCTCGTCTACAAAAATATCATATATGGCTTCTTAGGCTCCAGAAGAAAATGAAATTGATTTTGACAAGATTTGACTAATATGAATTTGGAACCAGTATAATTTTTTCGAACATTCATTTAAAGTTCAATAATTAGGCCTAGGCAAGTTAGTCAAAACTTCAACTAGTCGGACAGAAGGAAGGGAGAAGTATTTCTAGATAAATATGGTACGAATATGTACAAATTTGTAATTACATACGGAGTATAACGGAAATTTCTAAGTGACAAATTATTGTTGGAAGAGAAATAGGACGAATGTCGTACCACAAATTAAAGAACAACTACAAATAGGAGCATTTACAATGTCTTAGAAAATTCAATGGTGAAAGAGTTTACTATGTAAAATACTTCGAACCAAATATAGTTGTAAAATTATAGTTTGTATAAGCTTAGGGAAGTGCTGAGTACATGTAATATTACTCGTATATCATTGATGTACATTGAAAAAAACAGTCGTTTTTGAATAAGTGACTTCCAAAATTATAAATAAGAGATGAATCGAAAACTACTCATAAATGGCGCTCATAATATACATTTAATTTAATTTGTTTATCTAACACTTGTAAATTCTAATGTAACTATTGATTTCAAATCTTAAATGAAAGTTTAAGATTGTGTACTTGAAACAGTGGATCCAAACGAAACCAAAAAATCGTGATATGTTAATATCTGTTGTAGTAATATCACTAATAAATACGTGTTTAGTGTGAGCATAAAACCTAAGCCGTCTACTCCTAATTTTGTTTCGCATGTGCTAAACTTAACCCGGTTTGAAATGCATAAAAGTTAATTTTTCATGATGGCAAAAACATGTTTTTGTAGGAAAATAGTAACTTAGCTTTTAATGCATTCCATAAACAGGATCAAGAATTGTCGAGATCAGACATAATTTACCATGCACCAACAGATGGTCTAAAGAATGGAAACTTTGAAAATTAAGTACCAAATTGAAAAACCCAACCTAATTCAATTCATAGGAGATTTGAGAGAATAACGTAGAGGAAGGAGCCGTGATGTGCTCCACGTACTTGGGTAACAATATGTCAATATGCACTTCATTTGGTTCTCAATTATAGGTGGTTAATTAGTCATTAGTTTCGGATTTAGGTCTATTTTGTCCAAACGGAGTTGAGCAGTACTATTTTATTTTACATTGTTTTTAACTATTAGCCAATTTTAAATTCATATACTTTCGAATTTTCATCATTATTAATCATCAACAAATGAAAAAGTGGGCAAATATGAGCTTGAAGCGGTGGAGTATGAGTTATGCCAAATATGCAAATTAAATTAGTTATGATTTTGATTGTAAAAGTTATGATATTTTCTCTAAATCTGTGGTTTATAGATCTTTATTATTGTAGATGTAGTATGGCTATTATTTAATGATATTAATGCTTCCTGTTTCAAAAAAAAAAATGAAAAAGTGGGCATTTAGTTTATTAAACATAGGATTTTTTTTTTAAAAAAAAAAAACTACATTTATCTCTAAATATTACCGTGTAATTGCTATATTTCCTTTAAATATAAATCATTAAAGAGAGTTAAAGTGGACTGTGAATATAAAATCGATCAAATATACACAAATCAAATAAGTATTTCATCCGAGTTAAATAGTTATAATTTTTTTTTAACGGGAAAAATAATATCATTAAATAAAAGTCATACGACATCTACAATAATAAGGATCTGTAAACCACATATTTAGAGAAAATATCATAACTTTTACAATCAAAATCATAACTAATTTGCATATTTGGCATAGCTCATACTCCACCGCTTCAAGCTTGACGCGAGCAATGATTTTCGATGTCTTTGCATCTTTCCAAGTTGAGACCTCCGCAATCTGCGCTGATGTTTTGATCGACCGGTTGATGACAAATCCCAGACCCATAGGAATCCAAATCACTTTCCCAATTATTATAAGAACCCTAAAAATAAAATTCTCATCCATAGATGAGAATTAAAATCCCAGAAAATTGGGACAGACTCTCACAGATGGAGAGAACAAAACAAAGCAAATACACCAAAACGTAAAACAAAACAAAAAACTAAATTGAATTAAAGAAAAAGGGTCGAAAATAGTCTAATTTCCGAAGAAATTAGACTATTTCCGGCCTAAACGGCCAAGAAAATTAAAACCCTAGAAGAGAGAGGAGAGAGGAGAGAAAAAGGGGCAATATACATAAAATACAATTTAAACCTTACAAAAAAATAGTTATAATTTAGGTCACTTCAAACATCTATCTATAACTAATACTAAAGTAGCAACCGTTGATGTCATCTTTTTTCAAAGTTGTATATGTGGCACTATCTCATGAAAAGATTTCCCGCTCAATTGCTTTTTATTTTTTATTTTTTTGAAACAAAATGCTATTTAATTTTAAATAGGTAATAACTATTTTTTAGGTGATTAATTTAAAATAGGTACCTATTATTTTGGTAATTTAGGTTGATATTAGGTTGTTGGAGTCTTTATAGGAGTTATTAGCATTTTTTTTTTACAACAACAAAATTGTCATTGATTAATAAGCGTTTTTAGCATAATTGAGGTCAATTAAAGTGAGCTTATAAACATTTTGAGCTAATAAAAAAATGTGAAAACAAAAATCCAAAGATAAATTACTGTTAAACCCGTGCATTGCATGGGTGCTAACCTAGTTGATCAACAAATTCATTACCATATATAACTGTATAATTCCATCTTAAGTACTGGATAATTCAAAGTTATTTCAATTTCAGTTTAACTACACATCCCCTAATCTAGGATATTAACAAATAAAGTCTTATTTTACCACTTCTAGAACAAGGGGGTCAACAAGACACTAACAAACCACAAAAAATAAAAGAAAGAAAATATGAGATAGGAAGTCATTGTCTAGGAGGACCCATAAATCATTTAGCCTTAGAAAAAAAAAACATTGCACAATATTTTCTGATTCATAATTCTATAGTACATAAATTAATAAATTACTAAAACCTTAAAAATACTAGTCCTAATCATTGCTCAAAGTAAGAAAATTCAATCATCCCATGAATTATTTTTTAAAAATATACATATACACACGCGGAAACAAAAGTTTGAACGAGTCCAAGCCCTTTTTTATTCAACACTTAAATTAAAATCAAAACTATTTTTTTCAATAATTGACCAATCAAAACAAAGTTTGAAAAAGTCAGCACTACATACATCACTCCAATTTTTAACTCATTTTTCATCCCTTGTTGTTTACTCTCAATTTCTATTGACCATAGACTATTCTTCTGCAGAAAATTTATACTTCCATTTGTCAACAACTTGCTTTTCAGTCAAATTCTTTCTCTTTCCTACCACTTTATAAATCTTTCCTATATATAACCAACTTCAAATTACACCCTTTTGAAGCATAAACTCATCACTTCTCTTTCTCCCTCCTGCTTCAGAGTCTCAGACACATTTTTGAAACAGTTAAACTTCCACTCTGCCTTTTTTAACAGAAGAAAACACCAGCAACTGTAAACTTTCCCGGTTTCTTTTCGTTATTTGATCATCCTCCTCTTGTAAGTGTATGTCTTAATACGTATTTGTGTTATGCCTTGTAACACACCTGAGACATGCAACTTACATCAAGAGAGTAACAAGAATAGCTGGTGATCTGGTATACGACTGTACAACAGACAGTTCAGAAAACCAGAGCATTCTGCATTACTTTCACTCTGAAGAATTACAAAAAAAGGAAAATGGAAAACGGTTGTGGCAATTACGAGCAAGAATCATTGGTCGTGGAGCTAAACCAGGGGGTAGCGCTAGCTAAACAGCTAAAGGCTCAAATGAGTTCAGAAATACTTGCAGGTGAAACTAAAGGAATGTTGGCAGAACGGATACATTCTTGCCTTGAGAAGGCTCTTTTGATTCTGAGATTGGGTGGGTCAATGGAACAGTTTCACCAGCATTTAGTCCCATCAACCACGGCCCCTGAATCACCACTTTCGGTCATTGGAAGTCCTAAGAGTGAAGATTTGAACCCTGGGATTCATGTTCAACAAGATAGCATAGAGCTGTCAAAAAAAAGGTAAAGACTTTCAAGCCGAGTTTTAATGCTATAGTCCTTGAGAATTCTACTACATTTCCTGGTTACAAAGACCTCGAGAAGTTTCTAATAATTTTGGGATACTTGTTGCAGAAAGATGATGCCAACTTGGACAGACCAAGTCAGGGCATGCTCTGAGAATGCAGCCGAAGGGCCACCCGAGGACGGGTATAGCTGGAGGAAGTATGGTCAGAAAGATATACTCGGAGCCAAACACCCCAGGTAAGGTTTCTGCTTCTCAAGATAAAACTAATACAGTAAAAAGACAAAAAGTCCATCAGAACATGCATATTTATCATCAGACCAGGTCTTTGTCAGAAAATCTTAAACATGTCCAAATAGATCCTAAGGTCTCTAGAAAGCAAAGACTTTATCTAATGTAGACCAATCCTTTTTTGTATATTTGCCCTCCACTCTGTTTCAACTAGAAACTAAAAAGAAAAATCATGCAATTCCTGTTTAAAAAAGTAGGAATAATATGCATAACCTGACTCATGAAAGGATTTTTTTTTAAAAAAAAAAAAGTCAAACTACTACAATTTTGACTATAAATGTACAAAGTGTACATCATATCAAAGGTAGGACTACAATGAAATCTCAGATCCCTATTAAATTCAAAATAATAAACTTAATACTTATATCATAACAATCAGCCTTTTAGGTGATTAAGGGGTAATTCAAGTAGAGCAAATAACTAGAATCAGAATCTAACAGCAAGATTAATTTCTGCATTTACAGAAGCTACTACAGATGCACGTACCGGAACATTCAAGGCTGTTACGCTACCAAACAGGTGCAACGAAATGATGAAGATCCCATGCAATTCAACGTCACCTATAAGGGAACTCATACTTGTACACTAGCCCCACGTTCAAAGTCTGCACCAACATCACCACAAAAACAAGAACGCAACAAACAAAGCAATTTTCCCATCATGCACTACCAGCAGCCGCCCGATATGCTGCTAAATTTTCAGACAGGGCTGAGAGTTGACATTCAGAGCTTAGAAAATCAAGAGACAGGATTTTTCTTTCCAACAAGAGATTTTGGATATGAAAACCATGCCTTTACACCGTCAACAGTCCATAACAGTCACCCTAGTAACAGTTTTCCTCAGTCGTTCATTCAATCACCAGCCACCTCGGAATCAACTTATTTCTCCACATCACCTTGCAAGGTCAGCACCTTTGGAGGAGTTAACTATGGACAACATTTTGAATCAGATATTACAGAAATAATTTCAGCTACTACTTCAGGAACCAACTCCCCAATAATAGGCATTGATTATTCAATGGATCCATGGGAGGGTTTTCTGTCTGATAACCAGGCATTTCCTAACAGCTTCTCTCAAGCTAAAGAATAATGTCATCAACAGCAAGAAAACAATCCAACATGTAATCCCATGGTTGGCTATTTTTGGGAAAGTTCAATTTGAGCATTTCATTTAATTAGACAAGACAGGCAGAGAGGATAAACAATAGAATCATTATTTACTTGTAAATTATCAGAGAACTAGCATCTAGGAAACAAACGGGGTTAGTACCTGATATAACAAAATAGGGGGAAGCTTGTCCTAGGTTTATAGGGAGTCAGTGGTACAAGCAAAGAGCTTCATGCTAGTTGACGACAATTTAATTATTTAGTTTTTTTTTTCTCCTTCCCTTGTAACCTACTCCGTAAATTCTTTAGTTAACTAAAACAGCCCTTCAGTCAATTTTTATGAAAACAGAGTGAATATTGCATTACAGAAAAGTATCTTACCTTCAATTCGCTTCCTTTTTTTAGTAAGACAGATGATGTCTAGTTCAAGCCTTACAAAGTCCTTGCTCTATCCAAAGGCTTACTCCTGTATGAAACAAAAATTTTGCAATGTCTCGGAAATATTTCACATTTCCAAAATCAAAAGTAGTTTATGATTGAATTCTCTAGCTAACCCCAGCTTACATTTTATGGTGGAAACTTTCCAGAGAGAATGGGAAGTTTACAACTATGACAAATGTTGGACAATGTTACAGCTAAATTTGAACAAAGAGAGTAGTTGTTTAATGTTTGAGTATTTGTTAACTATAATTTTGGTATTTATTTAAGACAAACAAAATTGCACAGGTACTCTAGATGACAAGTAACATAAAACTTTTTTTGAGGAAACAAGTAATATAAAACTTAAGTGACTAGAATTATGTATGAAAACAAATTAGTACTAAGCCATAGCTTACGAACCTAGGACTATGTTCTCTTCTTAATATAGGAAGTTATTACTAGTGCTTATTATTAACATCTCCGGCCATGTCAGACCAAAAAAAATCACAATAGACCAAACCAGATCTTATTTGCGCCTGTCTATTTCCATATTTTTGGAAGTTCGTGGACAAACAAAACAGCTATGAAGTGAAAACTACGCATTAAGACAAATCTAATTAGACCCACTTGACAAGTGTTTCTCAGAGTATATTTTAGTATACAAATGCAGTAAAAGTTCAATCAAACCATAGAAATAAATAACAGATCAGATCAGAAAATTCAGATCAAACCATATCAGACCTTAAGAAATTCAAACCAAAACAAATTATTTCATGTGAAGAGTGCATAGTTGGGCTCTTTGCTAGTACTAGTATTCTAGTTAACACATTATTTTATTTATTTTTTTTAAAAAAAAAGGATTACAGCTAGGCTCTGAACTGCGATGGGAATTAGCTGGGATGAAGGTTAAAACTAATCGCAAGCACAATCTGAAGAACTTGACAGAGCTATAATAGAGAGGGGAAGACCTTGAATTTTTTTTAAAAATGAGGGCTTTAGTGCTGGAAAAGCAAGGGGAAGGCCTAATTTTTTATTTTTATATTTTTTTGAGGATTGGGGCTGGAAATCAGCTAGTGATCCAGATCTTTAGGAAAATAAGCTAAAATGAATGTGAATAGAGGAGCTCTAGTACTAGAAAAGCAGGGCCATTAGGCCATATTCTCACATTGAGAAAAAGGGGCAACAGTTTGGGTAGTTTTGTAAGGGTTGTTTCCTTTTGAAAGGGTAAGGATTTGAGCCTTTATCTCTAGAAACTCACATAAATCGATTTGAGAAAAAAAGGAAAAAAAAAAATAACGGTTAAAGAAGATCCTTGTGAAGAATAATCATACCCAAGTTATAGAAATTGAATAGCACAGCGAAATGGAAACAGGGAATTAAAACAAATCCATAGTCCTATGTAAGTTCCACTTAATTTAGAGACTATTGAACCCTATTTGAAGATACAGGCAAATTAAGTAGATAATCATGTATTATCTGAATAAGAGTGTGGAGAACAAATGGAAGAAAAGATGGATAAGTTTAACATAAGCAACATGTATAGTAATAAAAATATATTTACAACAAAATGAGCTCAGGAAATCCCATCTTTCCAGCACGATATCTACAAGATGCACCATGTGGCAACATTTGGCAGTTGAGGTAACATTAACCTTCAAATTCATTAGTTGCAGCAGCAATTGCATTATTATATCTGCAAATGTAATATGCTTATTACTCAAGACACGATCTACAATTGGGATAACATTATAAGGTTGTCAACCAAACTCAACTAAACACAGCAAGACATGAAGACAATCCATACCTACGAGGAAGGGTTCTCCTCTTTCAATCTTGAAACTTCTTTAGATTGATTCTCTTCAGAATGTATAGGTTTCTTTAGAGCCCTTCTCAACCCCAGCACAACAAATAGGTTTGACAAAGTGAGCAGAGACTCAGCCCCACCATGCAACCAGTCCACATTAGAGAGGGATGTTCCATAGTGTATCTTCGCTATCACCAACAACTTACTAGAATTCAGGCATCAATTCAATATCTAGTCTTTATAAACCATAAAGGATTATTAACTAATCTTGTTTAAGTAACTTACCATAGATTCCAGCAGGAACTACCAATGAGGAAGACAGAGCAGCAAAATCCAACAAGGGACAATTAGTAGATGTAAATCAGAAAGAATGAAATGCTAAAATCATATTCACAAGGACTACAATGAAAAAATTAACAAACAAAAGGCTGCAATAGAACCAACAATGTCAGGACAATTAGGTAATCTCCCAAATGGCCAGCTTTTATTTCTTGCAATCACACTCAAAGTAGAAATATATCATACATGCGAGTTTCTTTACAAAGGATAATATAAAGTACAGGAAAAATAGACGGGGATTCACAGCCAAGAAGCAAAAACATAAATATCCATTTTTTAAGTTTATAACTCACATTTGTGAGACACTTCCAGGAAGCCAGTCGCCAATGATCGCCAGGATCATAGATGACAATAGATTCAAATCATTCAATAATAGTTGACATTGGGAAGGCCAAACTCTTTTCATGGATCAACGAAGCATATAAACCAAATTTGTATGGAGCCCATGAGCTCATCACAATCAACAAATACCTCTTAAGTATCCAGGTTTGAGGTTTTCTGCCTACAAGAATCACAATGATATACGAAGTACAACTTAGAATCAGCCAAGAATTTCCATATGAAAGGTTTTAACTATATCTTAAGGTCAGCAAAATTTTATCAAAGGATTCTTGAGGGAAGTTTACTTAAGTCCTCAAAAGCCACATGAAAAATGAATGGCAAACCTAAGATCTTTTCACACATCAAAAGCCGCAAATTATGTTATTGAGACCCTTCCTGGTGGGTCATGGAACATATGACAGAAGGTTGTAACAGTATCCCCACCGCCACTGATAGCATAGATTTCACTGGATCCACATCAGGCATGGATGTGTGGTAACAGTTTCCCTTTGTCAGGGTTGTAACTCTTCTCCTCCGAACTAACTTGCAGGCCAACAGAAAATTTCTCCATAAAGAGAGAATAAACCTTCCAATGATCGTGACTTCGTGAGACCTCGAGTGCTAAGTAATTAAGCATTGTTTAAGGAACCCTAAAGCCATATTGTTGCTATATAAAACCTACTGATCATCGTGTATTAAAACCTGTAACTTAAGTATTTCATAGCATTATGTATCACCTGATTAGCCATTCCCACTCATAAACCTTGTAGACAAATTTCATATGTCTGAGCTTAGTGTTATGGTTTCGAGAGCTAAAGAGTTATCAATGGCTCTAGGAAGAAAAAAAAAATGTATAATTTAACAAATTAATCCAGTCTAAGGATCAAACTTAACCAAAATGCTATCATTTATCCCGATATTAAGTGGATAGGTTCTACATACTACATAGTGAAGACGGAAAATTATCAACATAGGTGTGGCATCATTGACATATAACAGTACTTTAAGCAAAAAGAGAAAACAGGTGTGGCATCATATCAATGGCCTCTTTAAATGGTTGTTAAACCAAATGTCCATATAGGAAAAACACCAACATTGCTGAAGGGAAGGGGAGGACCGGAGGATAGACTTCTATAAAACATAAAGGATATGATTTTATCACAAGAGAAGGCTTTTAATCAAACAAATCATAAAGGTACAAACTACAAAGTCATCGAGGTTAAGATGACATAGATACATATTATTGTTACTTCTAGCATATGTTGGATACACGAAATGTTTAGAATCAGAACATAGAAGCCTCAATCAAGCGTATAACCGTAATCCACAGCATAAGCCACTAGGTGATCAATCTCCTCTTCATTTATGACTCCATCAATATCAATATCAGTGTAATAGATTGCACGATCTGCCCTCCAACTAGGCATAAATGAACCCAGTCTCCGAAAGGCTTCCTTCAGTTCTTCCTTATTCAAGTGGCCATCACCATTGATATCATGTTTCCTGAATAATGCCCTCAGCTGCACTTCATCAATAGTTGCCTTATGGGACTCGGACTGTTTGACATTCATGTTCAACCTAGACCTAGGTGGGTTTCCAATACAAAGATCTAACTGCACTAAATCAAGAACGTTGCTGAGTGATTTTATATAGGACCTTAATATTCCCTGCTTCCTAGAACTCTGACTCTTACAATATGCTATCAACACCTATCAAAACCAAACAAACCGACTTTTCTGCAATGCTAGGAAATTTCCAATTTCTTGTAAAGACCACAGAGGGAATCAGATTCCATCCACCTTATGCAAAGTAAGCGAATCTCTGATGATAATACAATTTTCCTAATCCCTTGCCATTTCAACCACAAGGCAAGCATCATCAATCCACACATCAATTTATACCGTGAAGATACCCTATGGTCCACCAAACTACAAATACTTTTTAGAGTTTGATAATCAACACTTTACAGGACAACAAATACAAACCAGCAAGTAACTAGTTTTCTCTTCTTCCTCAGTTTCGACTTTCGAGAATTGTTGATCCCATTTTTGCTTATTCAATAGCGCCTCCTATAGTTTGCTGATCACCATGAACTTTTATAATCAGAATAATCAAACACAAAACAGTGATTAGCTACCTCTATCTCTAGTCCTCAGTTTCAACTTTCGAGCTTTCTCAATCACATTCCTACCTATCCAGAAACATTGTTTAGCTTAAATGGCCTTCAGGAATCATCCTAACTTATCTTCATAACTTATCAAACTAATCTAATTCAGCTAAATGTTATCCAATCTAATTTTGACTAACCACAGAAAAAAGAGTTCTCATAAACAGCAAAACTAACAGAAAAACCCTCAAATCAACAAATGTCAATATTAACAGAAAATTCCTAATAATTGCAACAAAAAGATATAACATAATCAAAAACCCACAAAACAAAATATTTAAACAAAAATTATAACAGCAAAAATCAAACCAAAACAAAAAGAAGAATAAACAGGAGGAAGAAGAACTTACTGGTAGCACCGACAAAAGCAAGCAAGAAATAGAACCCAAAAACGGTGAGTTTAGGAGCAGACTTAGACTTGGTGATGAAGTAGAGAAAACCCAGATAAGGGAAGAGAGAGAAAGCGAAAAGCTGAGAAGCAATGCTTTGAGAATCAATGGTGGGTGCCCATGGATCTACTGGCAGAAATCCGCAGACAATTCCTCCCTTTCTTCTTCTCATTCCGATTGTTGTTGTAAAAACGCCATTGTTGAATTTGGTGTTATCCCTAATCTTGAGAAATGAAGAGGATGGAATTTGAAGGGAGTTTGAAGGAGTTAAGGGGAAGAGTGAAGTTGGGGTTGAATTGCTATGAATTGAGAGAATGCAATTAGCTGCCATTGTTGTTTGATTGAGCTTTTTCGGTTTTAATCGTTTGGAGAAAGAGTGCAACCAAGCCACCGGTTTTTCTTTTGTGTGGTAACCCGAGTATGTATCAATAATTTGGGTGCTGCAAAATTTACAAATGGGTCTTTTGGTTATGGTTTTGGTTTTAGGTTTTTGTTTTTGTTTTCCGTAAAAACAAGAAATAAAAGTGTAATTGCAAAACTTAAAATTATTACGAAATATGAAATTTTGGTCAAATCGGGTCGAATTCGGGTTATTTGGGTTCGGATCGGGTCGAGTTCGGGTTTCTCTCAGTAACTTCGGGTCGGGTTCGTTCGGGTTATCGGGTCGGGTCAGGGATTGCCAACCCTAATTGATTCTCACCCCCGCCCTTGTGCCTCTCTAAACACCAAAAAAAAAGTAAGATGACTGAGATAACAAAAGTCCGTTAAGTTTTTTTTATCTCAAACTCATCTTCAAGACTTCAATGGTGGGGAGATGGTAGCTTGTTCCGATAATGTTGATAAGTAGGAAGGAGGAAGAAAGAGGAAGTATAACGTAAACGTCGTGAGTCACGATTTTCATGAACAATGTGGTTCTATCTTTTGAAGTTTAGTATTATTAACATAAATGCCACTGAGATAAATGAAAATGTTTATTACCGATATCAATTGGGGCTCACTCATTTTAGATTTGATTAATTTTGTGTTCTATTTATAAAACATGTCATATGATTTCCTAAATAAAAAAACCAAAGACCAAAATACTGAAACTATAATCATATCGAAATGACCTTTACTTTTCATTTAAGTAAAATTTCGAAAGATTATATCAAAAAATTAGGTGTTTGATTCAAATTGTGCTCAAGTGTGACTCAAATAGGAACCTTTTATTTTTTTATTTTTTATACACAAGAGAATAGGAGCTTGACTCAACTAAAAAATACAAACAAACTTTAAATGTTGAAAGTCAATATGAGTTGGACTCAAACAAGGCTCAAACTTAATTAAAAGAGAATATTTACTAAACTACTCAAACAAATACAATTAACGTCTTAACCATCATTGTAGAATTATTATTACTCTTTTTTTTCACATAAACTTTAAAATATAATATAAAAACTAATTTGAAAATTTCTAATCGAACTCATACTATGATGTGAATGAATTAAACTAAATTATTGGGTTTATACAGGTCAAAATTTTAATTTCTAGCATCTCTATGACAATTCACAATACTCGTAGTTGAGCCTTGAGTTGGTTTAGCCGAAAAAAAAAAAAAACCCGAAAAATTGGTGAAAACGAAAGAGGAGGAGCGGGAAGTTAAACCCTACACTACGGTGGCCGAGAAATTACACAGAAATAAAAAATGGAGAAAACAGTGGCGACATTGGAGACTGGAACTGTATGTTCTGCTTGGAATTACAGCGCTCAAAGATTAGCTACTGGTTCCATCAATGGCCTCCTCACTATCTTCGATTCTCCTGACCCTGCTTCTTCTTCTCCATTTTCTCCTTCTTCCTCCTTTCAGGTATACTTCTCCCTTTTCCCCAATCAATTGGGTTTTTTACTTGCTATTACATCTCCTTTCTTTCTAATTCATGTTTTTGTTCTAAGTATTACTTCAATTTACAATGAAAGTTTGCAAATTTCGGTCATATTGTAATGGTATAACTCAATTTATTATGAAAGTTTGCAAATTTCAGTCATATTATGTTTGTACTACTCAATTTATAATTAAAGATTGTAAATTTCAGTCATAATATTTGGGATAACAATTGTTTATTTAGAGCTGTCAAATTGGGGTTTTGGGTTGTTTGTGTTGGGTTAATTGGTTGGTTAGTCTGCTACTATGTGGGTTTTTGATTTAATTTCAAATTACGGTTGAATTGTAATTTTTAGGCTGGACATTTATTTTGTGAGCATCCGAATTGTTCATTGTGAAGGTACATGAGGGTAGCATTGTGAAGGTGTTATGGGTTCCTCCAGAGTATGGAGATGCTGTCGCGTGCGTTTTGGATGATGGTACTTTGTCATTGTGGGAAGAAGTCGCAGGAGGTAACTCTAATTATTGTTGCATTCATATGAAAGAATCATATAGTTGCTCACATTATAAGTTATTGTGTATTGGTTGTACTTCCTCGGTGAATGATTTAACTGCAAAACTTGATGCTGATTATTGTTTCGATATTTAAGAATTATGTCTTTATCAAGTTTCAGATGTTTGTTTCATAAGTAGAGTAATATTGTACATATTGGCCATTTGGCCATCATACTACATTACTAATAAGTGAGACATTACTTTCAGTATAGTTATGATAGTGGTGTTTTTTTTCAGTTAGACTATGAAATCTAAAACATATGTTTATCCCTATTCTATACAGATGGGCAATCGCTTCAGTGGAAGATTTGCACTAAGTTTCTGAATAAAAATGCCCGTGTATTGGATATCCAATTTGGAGGTTCCTCTACTTGTTTGAAGTTGGTAAGTGTTAGCTTCTGTTGCAAATTATCATTTTAATGTAACGTAACTTACTTCATGTGCTCTTTTTGGAGCATATGATGAACTCCTCGGAGTTATATAACTATGTGCTATATCCCTTTCTTGTAGGTTGCTGCATATTCAGATGGTTATGTCAAAGTCTACGAGCTTCATAATCCCTTGGACCTGAACACTTGGCAACTTCAGGTATGTTATCGCTTGAATACATCAGTGAATACTTTATTAACATGATGACTACTTAACTAAAGAGCTTTTATTTAGTTAGGAATTTAGGAGTGTATATGTAACCGTAGGATCTCTATGTGGTAAACGTTAATACAAGTTTGAAATCGGCTAACAAACTTTTTATTGCCAAATTGTAATGTATAGGCTGAGTTCCAGAATGTTATTGACTCGGTATCTAAATTTGCAAAAGCTTCATGCTTATCAGCATCCATATCGTGGATTCCACAAAAAGGTGAAAGCCAGCAATTGAGCTTTGTTCTGGGGTTCAATTCAGATGTACCACAACTCAATTCTTCCAAGGTACTGTGTTTCACAACATTTTACATTTTGGGTACAATTCAGATAAACCATAACTCAATTCTTCCAGGGTACTGTTGAGTCTAAAATGTATTTCGCAATTTTTCGTTCACATGGAGCATCGAAATTTTCCTGACAAGTGACGATCTGATCAGCATGCAGTTAATGCTGATGTTCTCATGTAGTTGGACCACACGCCCCCCTTGTTTGTAAATTTTCATTGTGTGGTTGCTGTTACTGTCCTGAGCCTTTTGTCTGTTATGGTGTTCTTAATTATTAACCACTTTTTTTTCCCACTATGTTAACCTATGTTGTGATTTCATTCTTGCTAATAGAGTAGTACAATACTACATTATGTGCTTTTCTCATGCTTATTGGTTAAAGGTTGGCTTTATTAATTTTACTTCCCTAGGTACCTAACGGGATTCATTATTGGTTTTGTTTTTATTAGTATTGTTTGCGGTAATGCTCAGGCTTCTTGCAACTCTGATCAAACATTCTGCTCGCTGAAAATTTATATGCATTGCATATACGTTAGATGATCACATACATGAAAGGCATATCCTATTTTTGTTTCAAATTATTTGCAACATTTATCATAAATGAATGCTACAAATTATTTGCAACAATTGTTTTCTTTCTTGTTTTTACTTATCATTTCATTCTATCTCTCTCATCACATGCAAATTTATTTTTCTCTCTATATACTACTCACAAACAAATTTTGCCGAAATGTTGGTGAATGTCACATTGTTGCAAATAAATTAAAACAGAGAGGGCTATAAAATTACAGAAACCTCTTATGAACACAGTGAATATGTATGAGAATCATAGCCAATACGATTTTATGGCATTCCAAATCACCAGATCTCAAGAAAGTTATGCTACTATATCATCATCTACTAATTCGGCTACTTAGAATTGATGTCTTGGTTGATATGATAAGTCACAGCATACCAAATATAGGGTTGTAAGAGTCTATTTTTCTTTTGTTACATTTCGTTTCTAATAAGATAAATTTTAAGAAATTACCTTATGTCTTGATCTATATATCTTCCTAGAGATCTCTAATTTTCCACAAGTTTCCTTCAAATCTTTGATTAAAGGGTTTTTTCCCTTGAAATTACTTGATGAAGCTCTTGGTTGGAAATATGTGTGATGAAGTGACCTGCTTGATTGAATAACTTATCCAAATCAATCTCATGTTAGATGATATCAGGTCTGGGAGTTTGATCAATTACATCAAAGGTGGCTTACTGTTGCTGAGTTAGCTTTACCTGAAAACAGTGGTGAAAACAGTGGTGATCCAGTGCATGCTGTTGCTTGGGCTCCAAATATTTGCAGGTAACCCTCACCCAATATTTTTTTTTTTTTTTTTTGTCAATACTTAAAAATCGCATTTTCTGTTTGTTGGTCAATCGGCTTGAGCCTTTGCTGGTGTGTGGCATCTTGATCTATGGCCATGCAGGGTTGAACTTCTCATTCATTGTTTCTAGCCTGTAATATTATTACTTGGCATTAACCCTGTGAATTTGGGAGATGAATGTGCCTGTATTTCTGTCGATAATAATTATGTTCCTGCTGAATTTTTATTTACAGGCCATATGAAATCATCTCTGTTGCTACTCAGATGGGTATAGCAATATGGCATGTTGGTTTGAACCCTGATGTTGACGGGCATCTCTCAGTGGAGAAGATAGCTTTGTTATCAGGTCATCAAGGCGAGGTATGACAGCAAATTTCTTTCATTTGGCATTTAGTTCTCCAAAATATGTTTCAGACAAGATCCTTAATCAATGTTTAGCTTGTTAAAATGCACATAATGGAAACACCCTAAGTAAAATTTGTGAAGATTGTCAATTCCAACAGATATTTACTCTTAACTGTTACTCCCTTCATCCCTAAAAGATTGCCTCATTTTCATTTTAGTTAACATGGTTCCTAGTTCCTACAATCTCTACGTACTAAAAAATACTTTGTATCTGGTTATCTGCTCAACTCAACTCAACTCGTAATAAAGTGGAATGTGTTGATGGTGCAAACTTTAAGGGATGGTGAGAGTATTCTTTTGTGATGCTCTTTTTCATCAAACTGCTAATTGGCGAGGTTTTTGTGTGAGAATAGGTATGGCAAATGGAGTGGGATATGAGCGGAATGACATTGGCAACCACTGGGAGTGATGGGGTGGTCAGGCTTTGGCAATCTAATCTGAATGGTGTCTGGCATGAGCAGGCAGTCTTGGAACCTACTTCGTAACCTTGTAACTGTCCCTTGTATTACGAAGTATCTCAGTTGACCTGCAGGGCTGTATTATAGTACTGTATGCATAGGATTTGCCTAGAATTTCTTTTGGTAATCAAATACTAGAGCAGATTTGGAAATACGATATGGGTTTTTCACGAGTCTTGCCATTTGTATTGCATCTTGCATATTGTAGTTGCGAATGACTGCTTTAACAACCAATTTTCGTTTAAAGCAACATTAACAATTTTTCTTTTAACACTTTTTCGAATCAAACCCTTCACCTTTGGTTTTATGCAACCTTTAACTCTTCGGTTGATGATATGGAACTAAACCTTTGCTCGACTAAAACGACCAAGCTATTGAGGGCATGTCATGAGCCATATTTTACTTAATTGTGAATTATTAGTCATTTCTAGTTTCAGTATACTTCAGAACCTAAACAGGCAAAAATCTTAAGGGGACTAAGTAAATTGATTAGCTAAAATTTAACATTAGTGTGTATGAGTCTATGATTGTGAATGATTTTAATTGAATTGGGCCCTATTCTTTAGAGCTGTTTTGCTACTGCTCTGTCCTGCTCTGCTCCGCAGTGTGTGGAAGCCTAGCTCTGTTGTGCTATGTCCTGCTCTGCTCTGCTCTGCCCAGGATCTCAAAAGAACAAGGCCTTGGTCTATCTAATTATATATCATGATTTATTTGTCATTAAATGTTCGAAAGTAATACCAATCTTAAGATCTTTTTATTTTTTATTTGGTGATCGTGATAAAAAAATTATTGGGAGTTGAATAATAAATCTTTTGTCTGGTCTGCATGGGCTCACTGACTGACTATTTTGCAATGGCCTGATTTTTTAGTTTTCATGCATTGGCTTATGATAATGAATTTATGGGCTGCTTTTTTAATTTTTGTTTTCTACGTAGTATTTTTTTTTTTTTTTGAGGGCATTCTACGTAGTATTTAAGAAATAATAATTGCGATTGAAATTGTTTTTTTTTTTGAATGAATTATTAGATGCAATCATGCAACACTAAAAAGTACTTTTGTTCGTACAGAGTAAATTAAAATCAATAGTTACAAAACACAAACTTGTTTGAAATTGTTATTTTAGTTTCAGTTTTTTATTTTTTTAATTTTTTGAAAATAAAACACCAAAAACTGAAAACAAAAAACATAAAGCAAGAAAAAAGTAATTTTTACTTTTTTACTGTTAATTTTCAAAATTATTACAGTATAATTTTAATAAATTTGACCAAATTGTAATTCATTATATGACGTATATTAAATGATATTAAAAAACAAAATATCACAGCGATACCAAATAAACCCATAAATCGTTCTTATTATTATATTATCACTAATAGTAATAATAATATAAAAAAATGTGTGTAATATGGTTTTTGGTAATTGTCGGGAAAAAGTAATCTATTGTATAACTATTACATGCTTTAATACTTTTTGACAAATTTGTTATGGGATGACAAATTGATATGTTACACCGAAAATATAAGTCATAGGTAGGTACATGTAGTTGGATGTAAGGATTTGGAATTTGGAGTACATGCCTACATATGTTTTGGTCTAATGATCGAGATTGAGGGTGAGTACGAAAAGGTGGTCTGAACTCTGAACAAGCCATATTCATTAATATGCATGTAGTTGGATGTAAGGACTTGGAGTTTGGAGTACAAATGAATAAAAAAAAAAAAAAACAAAACTAGAAGAGCTTGTAACTTCATGAACTAACGCATCCATTGATAATGTAGTTAAACTTTTAATTATAACTACACGCAACATTAAAACATAATCATACATTAATTAGACAATAACTGAAATTCTTAAAGATCATTGATCAATGTAAATAGGCTAATCACAGCTATTCTTGTATGCTCTTGTGATTCTTCATCTCTTCGGCCACCTTTGCTAATGATTGTTTTGACGATCCATCTTCACCTAAAGTAGCAACAGCCGCATGCTTCAAAGCTCTCATTTTCTCTCGTTGTATTTTTCCTTGCATCAAACATTTTGCATATTCAGCAATTTTTTCCCGATCAATCAAACCCTTATCATTTGGTTTCACCCTCAATGCAACATTCAAATCATCAGCTACCAGCACGGAATTCAACTTTTGTTCAGCATAAAGAGGCCAAGCAATCAAGGGCACACCATGGACTATGCTCTCTAGAGTCGAGTTCCATCCACAATGAGTCAGAAACCCACCGGTCGAACCATGACTTAATATTTGAACTTGTGGGGCCCAATTCGGCACCACAAAACCTAACCCTTTGGTCCTATCTAAAAACCCTTGAGGCAAATACTCAAGTGGGTTATCAATATTATTAGTATCACCAAAAAAAGAAGCATTAGATTTATTATTTGGGGTTTTAAGAACCCACAAAAATCTTTGCCCACTTAACTCAAGCCCTATTGCTAACTCAATTACTTGCTCATGAGAAAGGTTCCCACCACTACCAAATGACACAAACAAAACCGAATCACTTGGTTGCTCATCCAACCATTTTATACAACCCGACCCATCTATCAACCCGTCTTCTGAACCGGTCCGAATCACCGGTCCAATGGGGTAAACCGGAGGAACATTATCTTCTCGACCACGATCATTCATCAAGTAATCAAAGGCAACCGGTTCAAGATCATAAAAACTATTGATTAAAATCCCAGTAGCTTCAGAATAACACTCTATCATGCTAAGAAAGAAGTGATAAATCTCACTTTTTCTATTCTGAACCGGATCAGGAAAATCAGCCCCATGAACCGGAACTAGACCGGGCACAAACTGAACCGGTTCAGATAAATCTCTGTATTCACAAGAGTGTATCTTATCCAATTTTGGTAGACTATAAAGACAGCACAATCCCAAAGCACTACTAAGAAAAAAAATATACGATAACGCGCCAAACTCTCGGGCCAAATGTATGATACTTGAGCCCAAGAGATCAACAATGACCGAAACTAAACGTGTTTCCTTAGACAAGGCTCGGAGCGAGTCACGAATACCCGGGATGGACCGAGTAATGGTGAGAGTCATGCGAGTCTCAATGGCGCAATCGGAGTGAAGATCAGAGACATCGATGGGAGAAACATGGGTGTAGGAGATGGAGGGTGGGAGGTTTTGTAGGAGAGTGAGTTGGGATTTCGAAGGCGGTGAACCGTCGTTGAGAATGAGAATGGTGATAGTGAAGTTGAGGCGAGTGAGTCGGGTGGCTAGCTCTATGAGGGGGATGAGATGACCCATCCCTGGTGTGGGGATTATGGCAATGTGTGGTGTTTCTTGCATGTTCAAAGGGTTGTACAAATGTTTTTGAGTGTTGGAAGGGTTTATAAATTATAATATTGAGTGAGTGTTGGAAGGGTTTAAATAGTGAGTAAAGGGATTGAATAAGGGAGGAAATCCATTGGTATTAAAGTAGCAAGAAAACAAATTAGTTGTTGGGAAAAAAAAAATAGCACATTAATTACATTATAAGAAAAAATACTTATTACTTTTAATATTATAAGGCTATGCTCATTTTACATGATCTAATTGAAGTCTAATTTTTTCTAATACAAAGTAATTTAATTTGATCTAATGTGATCTGGTCGATCTGTATTTTAAATTTGACCATGTTTATACTAATTCGTAAGATATAAAATTACCATTTGAAATGTCATTAGATTTGTATTTATATAATAGTACTCCATAATATGCATTTTTAAGTGTGAAATTTGTACTGTATAATTTATTTTATTACAAATTTAAATATATTTAAATATAAATAATTGTAAATAAAAAGATAAGATATAATCTGATCTAATTTGATTATTTCTAGTTGATTAAGCTAATATGAGTATCAAATTATATCAAAGTGAGTTGAAATGAACCACTTTGACCAATAGTAGTATACATTTACTTATACCATTTTGACCAAGGCTAATGTAAAATATGTTTACATAAATCACTTTGACCAATAATACTAATATATACTTCATATCACTTTGACCAATATTACTAATGTATACTTCATATCACTTTGACCAATAATACTAATATATAACTGTATAATACATTTATGATTCATAAATGAAAGGGAATCCATTAGTAATTAATGTAGCAGGGAAACAAATCAGTTGTTAAAAACACAAATACATTCCATCATTCAAATAATTAATTACTCCCTCCTTCCCCGAAAGAACGACCCATTTGGGTTGATTTTACGGGTATTAAAAAACTTAATTTGCAAGTACAAATGTATGGGAAAACACAAGTAAACATGGTGTAATAATGCACCACTCCATGTGATGCTTTATTAGCCATTAAGATTAAAGTCTTGTTTTACAACAATCAATATATATAATTAAAATACACAAGATTGTCAAGCTAGCACAAAAATATTTGAGGATATATTGGTAATTTTGTGATTTTATAGATGTCGGAAAAAACAAATGGATCATTTTTTTTTGGACTAAAATTATGCCAAATCGGTCGTTTTAGGGACGGAGGGAGTAGTAAATTTGATAAAAGTTTATATCACTTCTTCTCTACTACGGAGTAATAAAAGTCATACTTCGTAACTCATAACCATTTCAAAACAAGTGTCTCATTTTGTATTTTACATTATTCACATGCATCACTCTACAAATTTTGGTGTAAAATTAAACATTATCGCATATTTTGCCAAAAAAAAAACCGTTGTATATATAATGATACTTGTCCGTTATTTAATACGGAGTACTATTTCCGCTCCAATAATATTGCAACAATGAAGTTTTAGTACTATTCATCAATCTTGTTTGACTATATAATATGATTTATATGTTAAGCAAAATATTGTCATTTGGGATCTTATTAGATTCGTCTCTCAAAATAGTTTTACAATATCAACTTTTTATACTACCTCCGGCCCAATTTAGTTGCAACTTTGGAGGTGATTGCGGAGGCCGAGGCAAAATTTCCTAATCATGTTTATTGAAAGATAAGGGTATACACTTAAGTATTAATCCAAGTAATTAAAAAAAACAAATTCAACCCAATTTTTAAAAAGAAACCCACCACCACCAACACCCACCTAGCTATACGTACAGAATAAACCACCCACCAGGCCACCACCACCACCTACCACCGAACCCAGCCACCCAAGCACCGACGAACCCAGCAACCACCAAACCACCACAGTGGAACCCAGCACCGCCGAAACAATCAACACCGAAACCACCAACCCCGAAACAACTAACCCCGAAACAACCAACCCCGACACAACCAACACCGAAACCACCAACCCCGAAACCACCAACACCGAAACCACCCCGAACCTGCCAACCGCCAAAACAATCAACTCTGAAACTCACCGACGAACCGCCAGGAGCGAAGCCAGGATTTTCAAGTCCCGGGGGCCGGACTTGTCAAACAACAGATTGATGGAAAAAATTAAAATGTACTAGTATTTTATTGTTATAAAAAAAAAAAAAGTTGAATCGTACTCTACGATTTTTCATAGTAGAAAAATCATCAATCAAAGATTCAACACTAAAATCTACTACAATCTCTTTTTCATAGTACCGGATCTTTTTTGCCCATCAAAACTTGTGTTTTGCTCATTATCATCATTCAAATTACTTTCGGGTTTCAAATTTGCCTTTGAAGTGGAACCCTCTTCTGGTTAATTATTAACTTTTTTGTAAAAAAAATCTAGTGTTTTTGATTTCATGATTTAACCTATATCAATACAAAACCTCAATTATCAAATTAAGTAGAATATAACCCTAAAATTTGATCTAATGGTCCATTCAATAAATTAAAAATTAGCCAAAAATATTAAATAAATAAACATATTAACCAAGTAAACAACTAATCACAATCATGTAAATAACAATAAGAAATTTATTAATTAAATGAAATTAAATAATTTAAAAAAATAAGAAGAATTTTTAAAAATAAATTAAATAAGAAACTTTATCAAAAAAACAAGTGAGGAGTAGGATTTGAACCTAGGCTCCTTGGGAAAAAGAGTCACTACCTAACCAATATGACAAGCTCATTTGTTGTATTAATTGTGTCTTCATTACTATAAATAATAAATTTCAGGGGGGGCAAGGGTTAACAATCAAGGGCCACAAATCTGGGCCGGGGAGGCCGGGCCTCCACCAGCCCCCCGTCCCTTCGCCCTTGCGAGCCGCTGTAACCTCCCACCTACCACCAAACCCACGAACCCACACACCTACGAACCCAAAGATCCACGAACCCACAAACCCACAGATCTGGAAATATAATAGGAATGGTTGAAGGAGGAGAGAGAAAAAAAAATTGGGGATGAGGAAGAAGATGTAGAAATTTGATGAATTATGGTGATGAGGATTGAGGGGGAAGATGAAGATGGCTTGAATTGGTTTCGGTGGCTAAGGGGTTGATTTTGGTGAAAATAGGTTACTTAATTAATGTTAGGGTTAAAGCTAATTAGATAAAATCAGTTTTGTAATTAGGGTGTTTTAAAAAAAAAGTTAGGGTAAATGATAATTTCACCACTAAAAAGTTACTAAAAAAGAAAAGAAATGGGAAAGTTGCAAGTAATGTGGACCGACCCAAAAAGGAAATAGTTGTAACTAAATTGGACCGGAGGTAGTAATTTTTATTTTACTCTTATATAATTATAGATATTTAACATATAAAATATGATTTGGGATGCATGATTTCACTCTTGTTGCAATATTATTGGATCGGAAGTAGCATATTTATTTATTTTTTTTAAAATAAATCCATATAATAAGAGTATAAAATTGAGTTAAAGTTAATACGGGAATAGTGTAAAATACAAACTAGTGTATTTTTTAAGGTCATATAAAAAGATAATATAAGTCAATTAAATCACCTAAACTATGAGTAAGTAATTAAGTACAATGCTTATAAAAAAGGAAGTATATAAAAAGAGGGACTAAATGCCTGTTCTGATTCACTGAACTGAATTGTTATGAGAGAAGGAAATTTGGAACTGAAGTGAGCTGAACTGAACTGAACTTAATTGTTTATGAGAGAAGAAAATTTGGAACTGAAGTGAGCTGAACTGAACTGAACTAAATTGGTTTTGAGAGAAGGAAATTAGGAACTGAGCTGAACTGAACTGAAGTGAAGTGAAATTAAGTTGAAGAGAACAAATCCAAAATGTAGAACTAGTGAAATTAAATGGAGCAGTAGTGCATTACATTTCAAAGATGAAATCATCTACGTAGTAAATTCATACGGAGTATCAATAATTGTACAGCCAGAGCTAAGAGGCCCAAGTTTGGGTAATCAAGTAGCCCATTTATACAGCTTTAAAATTTGGGCATAACGAACAAGCAACCCAATATAAGGAATATAGGCCTGTTCTGCTCTTGTGTATTGAAAAGCCTCGTTCTATGGGCCAACAATTTCTGTAGATATTCATTTTCAGGCCCAATTGTGTGAAATGAGCTAAAAAGGATCCTATTTTGGCTAGGAAAATCATATTGTCAAACGAAATCTCGCACAGGTCAACCAACGTTGCTTAGTTGCTTAGCATACTTGTTAAAATATTGAGGAAAATAGTTGATTTGATTCCCAAATGTTGTAAGCATGAAGTGGAATACGCGCTAGTTGATTGGTGTTGGCTTGGGGGCATAAGCTAGATGTGATGGGGGTAGAAAGAAGCCCTAAGTTGTGGTTGTATTACTGAGTTATCTGGAAATTTATGACAAGTGCTGTAGGCTCTCAGAACAATGACTTGAGAGTGAGGGTGCACCATTTAGGGGGAGCTAGGCTGTTGGGATATCCTATGTTTGTGTGAATAAAACATTGTCCATCTTACTCGAAAAATGATAAGATGGTGACAAGCATATAAGGTTCGTGTGTTACTCCAATCCTATTATTAGTATGTCTACTTAAAATAAAATTTCGCTTAATTACAACGCATAATACCTCTTGGCAAGTTGGCATACTATGAGTCTATAACCTTGGGTAGTTGGTTGTAAAGCCATGTTCTCTTCACTTCATAATTAATGAACTTTTTAGTTTTATTAAATTTTATTTTACTAGTTTAAAGTTATTATGGTTTGAAAATACCGATTTTTACATATGTAAATATATTATTATTAAGTTGGACTTGTTTTTGTTGACTTGAGCTTATTTTTACAGAATTGGGCCTTGAAATGTACAATGATTAACCAAAGTGAATAAGTACTAACCAACCACGAATACTGAATTCAAAACATGCATATGCGGAGTATACATGTATCCCGTCAAAAAAAAAAAAAAAAAAAAAAAAATGAGTACAGGTATACTATTATACATGTGTGTTTTATAAGCTTGTAAAATGTGACCTTGGAATCTTAAGAGACAATGAAACTCCAAATAAATGTAAATTATTGTCATTATACAACACGACCAACGTAAGCCACAATCTGGCTCCAAGTATTGTGCAGCATACACATAGCTTGGCTTTACCCACAAGATACATTGCAGTACCTTCTAATTTCAACCCTTGTTACACTTATTGTACAACGTTGTTATTGTTTTCTAATAAGATTGTACACATTATGTTAATGAAAACACCTACAAGTAAAAAGATTAAAAGAAGAGATAGTTTACTTCATAAGACCTAGGGACTTTAAGTCTTATCTTTAAACTTATAACCAATGTTACTCCATATAAATTATTTTATTCAACCGATTACTGAAATGCGTGATTGTGCAACTTTTTATTAATTTGAGTTTTTTTCAAGAGCTTTAAAGATGCACGTAGTGAAAGTAAATAAATCCCTTATAGGCCTTTAGAGTGATCACTCACATAGCCGCATACAACACTGGCCAGGATCTCTCAAGACTCTTTCACCAGGGTAATTTCCCAAAATAATGTAATAATATAAACTAATTCCTTATATACATTGATTTAAAACCTATTTCCCATAATACCATCCACGTAGGCTAGGTTCCGAGGTTCGGTATTTGCAAGTATAAAACCGCTAACATTGTTGGCGGTTTTAACTAATATAGGACTTCTAATAGTATTAGAGGTTCTATGCATAGAACCGCTCTATATATGCATAAAACCTTTATTGGTATTAGCGGTTAAAACCTCTATTGGTATTAGCGGTTCTATGCATAGAACCTCTATTGGTATTAGTGGTTTTGTACGTAAAAGCTCTAATACCATTAGCAGTTCTATATAACGAGCCGCTAGTGTCTAGTGAAAGCTAAAGTAGAGGCTATATGCATAGAACCTTTAATAGTATTAGTTGTTCTATACTTCTATTATAAAACCTCTAATAGTATTAGCGGTTCTATACTGCCAAATTCCAAATCTAGGAACCGATCCTATATGGACTGTACGGTATTATGAGAAATAGTTTTTAAATCGACTTATGTAGAGAATTAATTTGTAGTTTAGCATTATTCAGGGACATCACTCCTTTCACCAAGTACACAATTTTGAATTTATTGTGTTCATTTTGATTTTGGTCCTTATTTAAGCAAGTTCTACTTCATTAAAAAGTGCTGTAATTTTCTAGATAGGAATATAAAACCTATAAGTCAAAATTAATGCATGCGAACTTCTTTTAAAAATTAAAATCAATTATTTTTACTAAAAAAAACAACCAAAATCACAAAATTTAAAAGGTATGGAATAAATGATAGGATCAAAATTAATCATAGGAAATCCCAAATTAAATTTACTATCGTACCTTTGCCCTAGTGATATTATGAAATTTGAAAAGTCTAGTAAAGATATCATGTATTTAATATAGGTCTGTTATATGGCATAGATCAATCACAAATCACAACTAATGCCATGTCTTTGCCTTTGGTTTTAAATAGATTGGTCCACCATGAAAGAAGGAATTGATGCTCAACAAATATATTTATTGCTATACTATAAGAAACATATCGCAAACGTTAGTTATTGTAAGTTAAGATCCGTAAAAGCAATTATGCAATGCAGAATAGACACATCAATACAAGTATTTTTGATCATCAACACTCGTGTATTAACTCATCAATCACGTACTATTTATGAATCTAGTTTAACACGCTTCTACTTAATTTAACATTTTAGTTATATATAATACCTAACTTCAGGTGTATTGTACTCGAGAACAATAAAGAATTTATAACGGAGCTAAGATTATTTTAAGAAATAACAAAAATATTAGCAACTTTCCATATAATTAACAAGGAAAATCAATAATACAAGCTCTTAAAAAGTTAATATACTCGATTTTATATCTTTACATACCTTAATAAATTATTCTATATTAAATACAGTAAATACCAGTAGAAGCAGCCGTGAAACGATCCGACATCGTTTTCCTAACCAACGAACTAATCTCAGGCGAAAAGCAAACTTCCGGAACTTCAGGAATACTCGAAAGCCCATTGGGCTTTTCATAGACAAGAAAATACCTACCACCATCAACCACCTTTTCTTTTTCTTTGACCTCAGGATCCAAAAACCATGGATCAGGGCTGCTACTACTACTATCATAATTGGGCTTCGAATTATTGTTATTATTGGGCTTAGAAGCCCTAAAAACAGACCGTAGAAGCTTCTGGAAAGATCTGGAAACCTTCGAGGTTATCGACTTCTTCGACGGTGGTGGTGGTGGTGGTGCACGGCGGTGGTCGGAGGGAAGACGAGGCATGGAGTAGGTTCTAGATGAGTTGATAATGGCGGAATCGAGTTGTCTTTGGAACGAGGTGAGCTCGAATGAGTCGTAGAGGGTGCTACCACAATCCCATATTGGTTTCTTATTGGTGTTATTGTTGCTGTTAGTTTTTTGAAGGTTTGGTAATATTTGTTGATCATTTTTTTGTGACTTTTGTGAATTGGTTTTGGTTTGAGTTTGAGGTTTTTGCTCCATTTTTGAGAGAAAAAGAGAGAAAAATTGAGGAGAAAATAAGTTGGGTAGGAAACAATGAGGGAGAGAAAGGAAGAGCGAGGGTGTTAATTAAGCAATAGGGCACCACAATATGCGGTTAAATCATATGGAAGAATAGGACCAATTATATATATTACGTACGACGTGTTTATTTTCGTGTATGGTGCAAGGGATTCTCATGTTCATAGTTGACTAGATGCTCTAGCTGAGTTGGGTTCTCGGGGAGTAGTTCGACTCAATGGATTTATTTATTCGACAATCAGTTGTTGGTTGATGTTTAGTTGTATTTATTTGATCAATATTTATTAAGTAGAAAAATAAGACCTATACATAAGGTGGAACAAGTTTTGTAACATAAAATTAAAAAAATAAAGAGATATTTGCTTATTGGGATTATATGTGGTCAAACTCTTTCCCAACGTGGACTAAGTATCTTTTATTAAAATTACATATGTCTATATTTTCTTTAATAAGCAGAGGTAATAATTCTAATTTATGATAATATATTTAAAGTTTGAGCTTAAAAAAAGAAATGATCGATGGGATTAATTAGTAACAAAAAAAAAGTTAATACTCATATAGTCATATTTGTTAAATGTAACCGCAAATTTACAAGAGATGAATAATTGTACCATTATATATTAGCTATACATGCACTAATTTTGTACTCTTATATTATTGAAGAGGAAGAATGCGTCGCTATTTTATTTAATTATTATTTCACTTTTGGTAATCCGCTTTTAACCTAACATTGATACATGCATTAATGCATAGTATTGCATTAAATGAAGAAACTGGATGAAATATTGCAATGTACGGGCTAAGATTTTGACGCGTAAAAAGTGAAAGCGATTAGGATTAGTTTTTATACGTATGAATTGGATCCACTAGCTTGAAAATGGGTCTGGAGAATGCATTAAATAAATACTTTAATGGTTACCCTCAATTGAACACGTTACATTTAAATTTACCATGTAATATTTTTTTTTTTTTTTTTTTTGAAAAGTATGTATGCAACTAATTGAGTGGGATTATAAGGGGATGTTTGAGCAACTTATAATATTGATGATTTTAGACTGGAGAAGTATAATTCTTTGTATTAAAAATTTGAAGTTGGTTAAATCATACATAATCAATCGCTCTATAATGCCGCGTACTACGTAATGTACATTTAGTACACAACTACACATAATATAATTTCAGAAAAAATAAGCTAAACTAATGCCAAACAAAGTATTACTATACTTGCAAGCTATAATTAATAGTTGGAGTATGTACAACTGTACAAGATATTTATTAACATGTTGAAACAAAAGAAAGCGAAATAAGTGGAAAAGCTTTTTTTTTTTTTTAATACAATTTAAAAAGACATATGATGAATATATTTAGGTTTTCAAACATAATTATTTTAATAAAGTTTCATGCAAATATCGTGTGGATATATAGTCATATAGTACAATCTTGAAGAAATTGCCCTACCCCCGAAATGAAATAAAATGATATGTGTCAAATTCAACTTATTTACGGGCCTATTCACATTTACTGAACTGAGCAGAACTGATTGGAGCTGAACCGAACTGAGCAGAAGTGATTGGAGCTGAACTGAACTGATTGGAGCTAATCTGAACTGAACTGAATTGAATTGAGTAGAGATGAAATGAATATTTTATGTCAGAAGATAAATAGGAGCTGAATTAAGCTGAATTGAACTGATTGGAACTGAACTGAAATTAAGCTAAAGTGAACAGGTCCTACGCTTAATTAAGGAAAGACCTAGATAATCTTCATTGTGATCGAATTGTCATTATGACCCATATATTAAACTATAGTCCAGTATGAACTATGACACCTAAATGATTTTTTAATTTAAATTAACATGCACGTTATATATGTATCTTAATAATAGTCGTCAATTCTGATCAATAATGCAACTGATCAAGCGTATTTAATTAATCAGTAATTCAATATAGTACACTTGTTAGTTGTTAGACATGATCTATATTATTCGCAGCATTTAATTATTTCTGATAGATATTATAATTAGGGCTTTGGATTAATTTTTTTTTTTTTTTTTTTGTAAACGGAAACCGGGATTGGCAATTTATTAATCAAAGCAAATCAAGATCCACCAAGGCAGTGATACCTTGGGGAAAGGAGTTAAATAATCATGTCGATAATCGATGGAATGGAAAAAGTCAATATCATGTAATTTACTGATCGCCAACTCTGATTATAATAAACCAAAATCCTAATCTCCATGATCTGAGGATGATTTGACCAATGCAAATGTACTCGTTGGTTGTTTGGCATTTACCACTGCCAAATATACTTGGAAAGTTGGATGGCTTACTCCCTCGGTCAAATAATATACTTGGAGTATTTCTTATTTCATCCCTCTAATTGACACATTTTGAGATTTGATTTTTTTTTTTTTACTATTTTCCTATGTTATTCCGATTTTCTTTTGTAATTTATATTTATAAAAAAATATTCATGAGATAGATCTTATTCAATTCGCGAGTCTCAATATATGTATTTCAGATTATATTAACTAACTTTCATTACTTTAATTTATTTAATTGATAATTAAAGAAATTAGGGCATAAACTCATGTATTGGCAAACTAGCCTAAAGAAATGAAGTACTACTCCTTATCATATAAAGTTTGGATGATAAAGTTTGGTGTAATTTTCATTTGTGTTATCTTTATTACCTTTACCAATAGCTTTTTTGTTGGTTATTAAAGCATATTCTTTTAAAAAAGTTTGTTTTTTTTAATAGGAACCTCAAAAAGTCACAATAATTGGCCCGTTAAGTATTTTTTTGGCTTTTCCAACGTACCATGAATATACTGAAGATAAATACTCATAAAGTCATAATCTTATGTAGTCGTGCTCCCTCCACCTTCTTGATTCTGAATTTTTAATCCCTTCTACAAAAATTTCCCACAATTTTATGGCGAGGATTTATTCTAAAATTATTCTTTATTTCATGATTAATTTGAGCTAATATTCTTTTGTCAATTAACTGTTAATGATTTAAGAAGAAGGTTTGAGTCTTAATATTTTAAACTATGTATTTGGGAAATAAATTAAGGGCAGTTCACTAGTTGAGCTGAGTCCATAGAAGGTTCGACAAGGTTATGTGCTATGTTCACCCACGACGACCCACCTTAGAAGCCACATTGTGTAATGTTGGGTTGTGAATAAATTGCACCCAACTAGCTAGGTAGCTCATTCACTAATTAATAATTATTAAGTCTAGTCGTGGCTAACCAGGCCGGCTAAGCTAATTGGTCATCTGATCTTTAAGTCTAAGATATACGGAATAAAAGTTAGACCATAAAAGGGTGTGAACAACAACCGTGTGAACACATACCGCGAGAAGGCCGTGAATACTATTCGCATATTATCCCTTCAACAGCCGACTTAGGTAGCTTTAATGAATGCATGCATGGAAAATTCTAGATCAGCCATATATATATAGTCATATAGATCATATATAGACGGTTTAGAATTAGAACCACCAATTTTAACAAGTAATGTACGTGTTCATTTGCTACATTTCATGCTATAAACTAGTGATGTCCACCAATTAGCAACTTAGCAAGGCAGTCAAATCCGGAAGCCAACATTATACAGTTGATTTGATCAGAACTACCTACCTATTGTTGTTGGCTTATGTGTTCGTTTTATAACTGTAAGTGTTATTATCATAAATACGTTTTGACTTTTTGAGAATAGTAAGAGATATAAATTATGCACTATATACTTTGAGATCTTCATCAAGTCTTGAGCATATAACATGTTGTGATGACTGATGACTATATATATACGAAGTATATGTTTCGCTTACCTTAATTTTTTTTTTTTTTTTGAAATTAATTAAAGAAGGTGATTTTGATTAATAGTTAATATTCTAATACTGTCTTGTATAGTGGTAGTGAAATTGGGTCTGGATTAGTGGGTCATAACCATTAGAGCTGGCAAAAAGTCGTGTTGTGTCGTGTTCGTGTTTGGTCTCGTGTCAATTTCGTGTTGTTCATAAAATCTATCAAAAAATATGTAAAATGTAAGATATATAAATGCATAATTTGACCACTTTATCTAAACGGGTCGTGTTCAGGTTGATTTCGTGTCGTGTCGACTTCGTGTTTTCTCTTACTAACTGTGTGTTCGTGTCGTGCCGACTTCGTGTTTTCTCTTAGTAACTTCGTGTTCATTTCGTGCTGGTTTCGGTCGTGTTGTCGTGTCGTGTCATGGATTGCCAGCTCTAATAACCATAAACCATTTGTATAAATGTATCCATCCCTACCAATTAGATCAGACACGAACCACGAGTGTTACTAAAAATAAGAGAAAATTTAATCTGTGAACGGTTTTAAGTTGAACTTGATCCTTAGAGCTTCAAGTTCATCATAAAGAGTATAATTATCAAACTCTAACAATTAGATAAAGCAAAACAAGCATTTATAAAATAATACCCCGTAATTTTTTGTTTTTTTTTTTTATACCAGTATGACTAATTGGTTAAGGAAATGAAGATTATAAATTAATGTCCATCCGATATTTTAAATGAAGCTATTAAAATGGACAACGGACACCTATCAAAGGGACAGTGAGTAAAAAAACAAGTTGATGTTGGTATCAGATGGGAGCAGGGCGATTTTATGATCTAAGATCAATCTATATATTGGGTTAGATTTAATGATTTAATTATTTAATTTATTTTTATTTTATTTTTTTGGAAAGGAGGATAAGATTTAATTATTTTATTGAATACCTGAATTAAATGTTTACTAGAGTATAATAAGTGACGTATTAGCTAGAGAAGGACCGATCTGGCAAAATATAAATGGGCAATCTATGTTCAATTAATAGGTTTGATTATATGGGACAAAATATTTGTCCCATTCGGAATTTAGATTTGATTTTTTAACTCTTAAATTAGATGTCAATATGTCATAGTACTCATAGAGCATGGGATAAGAAAAACTTTAAAAATTTAAGTTTGTACTATAATTTGCATGCATTGTCATCTTATAAGTTCACATAAATCACTATTTAATAAATCTAAAGCAATAATAAGAGTGGATCAAATTAGAAAATTATATATTATTTGTAGCTGAAATTATTGTCATACTAATTAGAGTTCATTTTTTAGAGTTGAATTTCCGCCCTATACGATTGCTTATTTGCTTAGGGTATGAAGACAAATTAAAATAAGTTCAATGTACAAATAGTTTCATACAAACTAAGGGTCTGTTCTGATTTACTGAACTAAGTTGAACTGAACTGAACTGAAATAATAAATTGTTTATGAGTGAAGATAATAAGGAATTGAACTGAACTGAACTAAACTAAACTAAACTGAATTGAAATTAAGCTGAGAAGAACTAGGCCTAAAGTTCTTTCCTTAAAAAAAATATAAATTTAAATATAATAAGTTGATATAATATAAAATAATTAAATTGAACAAATAAAGTTAAATCAAAGAGTCTTAGTAACTTGCATGCAAAGCCAAAAGTGCATATTAGTTGCAAAATTAAAACCTATGTATAGGCAGATTTTATTATTTTGTTTGTAAAATGCTTATTATATACGAAGTACTTCGTATATGCCTTTCTTACAATGAAGTGCCCTAAGACTCGTGGGTGAAAATCCTCAAAGTCCTATACGTACGTGATGCACCACACCATCATCAATTGATAGTACTTATAAGAGTTATATATAACAAGCACGTTCACACCAACTATTGGAGCCAAAGTACTGTTTAAAGGAGTCTTTATTGTACTGGAGGAAGCTTTTGTATGTAGTTTGCTAATTGTTGTGAGCTTCTAACCTTATCCATAGCTTTGTTAAATTCTACTCCGCACAACTAATATGCTCGATATTTAATACAAAGTTAAGTCGTTCACTCCAAATTTCCTCAAATTTGTACACAAAATAAATGAAAAATTCAAAAGAGAGAAGGAATAATTACACTCTTATTTCCAAGTGTTTAGGTCCAACTAGTCGTGTTTTATTTGGCCACCACCCCTCTAGGGTACACTAGTGCTAGTAATTCGGTAGGAGACCTTGTCATCTCCCTAAGGACTTGCCCTAGGGCAATTGGGTATTGCCTAACAATAAACAATCACATTTCCTCATTTGTAATTTATTCGCAAGAACAGCTGTAATTAAAATATACTGACCACAAATATGTAAGAAGACCGAAAAATATAGCTTTGGTTGCAATTAATAAATGACACAGCTAATTGAATAATTGATCAGAATTCACGGACATGCCACTCTCTACCTTACCGGGATTGTTATATTTGTTAATAGACTCATCTCGCATTGGTTAGGGAAGACTTTCCCCTTCATAATACATATTCAACCAATCCAGTTGTCGTCAATGATTGAGTTCATGCTAGGTAACTTATTGATTAATTTTATTCATTTGGGTGCACCGTACCAAAACATGAGTATTGTGTAGAGAAAATAACAAGTACCATGCATCTAATCTCCAAGATAATTGACAAAATCATAATAATTTGGCTAAATCATTATCAGAATAATAATTATCATTAGGAGTAGAACACAATATTGGACTGTCTACTTCGAAATAAATTGAATTAATAATTAATTACTTGACCACTAAGACTCCACTATCAGCTGATTTTCTGTTTACACCTTGTACAGATAAATTATTGGAGATGATGAGGTGTTCAAATCAATTCCTTTTTTTTTTTTTTTTTTTTTTTTTGAGGGAAGTTCAAATCAATTCCTTTTGAATAATGTATACGAAAAAAAAAATAAAAAAGAAGAATAAAGTAAAGTCAAAATCAAAATCCAAAGATTGGGCTGGGGCAGGTTTACTATTGAATTTTGAATTCTCTTTCTTTCTAGTATTAGGCCCAGTGAATGAGCCTCAAACTATCAAAGTCCAGTCCAAGTTTCTGGGGCTTGGTCTCAATGCTTGTCCATTCTAGCTAATCATCACATTTCAATTTTAAAAGCATGTAATTTAGCGTGGTTAAAATGGATATGTTCCAATGCTCGCAAATTCTACAAACGAAAATGTTGCGAGTATTAAAAAAAGGGAAAACTATAATACTGTCGTGTCTTCTTCAGTTCATGTATGGATTTCTTAGGCCTAATTGATATGATACACATAAGAGTTATAATAACAATCATAGAGCGCATTCTGTTGGACAGAATTTTCTTTACAGAAAACAGCTCCCAATCCTCCTACCATTGTTCTGAATGTATGTAACACCTCTAAAATAAGCACAAACTACACACAGATGTGGCTCAACAAACTTTACAGTTAGCGAAAAAAAAATCGTGGAAAACTACAGCTAACACTAAGATGCTTGACTGTGTATACTAATCTGTATTTCAGATACAAGTATACATTGAGTGTACAATGTGATTAACATTTAGTTAAGCTTACTTTTTCAAGTGGTCAGTCGCCTTATGGTCCATTACTAATCCACTATACTGTTGCTAAAGAGCTTGAACTGTTTGGCATCGAGAATCAACTTCCTGAGCGAAGAGACGGCCCCTAAAAGTCCAGCACCAGTGAAGATGATGATGATGGCAATGTTAACCAGATAAACAGTTGATTTTTTTGATGGTTTATGAGTCATGTTGTAGAGAAGCATAGGAAGTATGAAATCCAAGGGGATGAAACCAATGGCTCCTACAACACTGCTGATGTCTCCGAAAAATGGCAGCATTGCGGCTAAGAATCCACACAATACCATGTATGATGTACGAAGTATGATCCTAGGGATCAAATTTCTCATTGAAAACATCCCTTGGGTTGTATCTGCTGATTTCTTCTCCATGATCTCAAAAGCTACTTGAGAGTAAACCTGTTGAATTAATTGATTCAAATCAATTTATACACATGCATTGTAAAAAAATTACTATTACCCCATCACTGATAAAGAACAACCAGTTGGTTATCTACTTTTGTCAAGTCGTCCAAAATATTTATCATACGGTTCACACAATTCATGATCAAGGATTCACCATGATTACTAGGAATATTGGAACTTAAGCTTACCAAGCCAATGGCAAAAAGCTGGAGAAGAATGAAGATGACTGCGATTGCTAAAACCCAATCTGGAGCCAAAGCTGGTCCACTATCAGGCAGGAAACTCTTAAGTATGTTTGAAGTAGATTTGTTACCGAAGACATAATATCCAGAAAAGGCAACTGCATAAAATGTGACAAATATGACAGAGTAGCACATCAGAAGGCCTTTAAACATCTTCCCAGTTGCTGGAGGAGCCAGAGTTGCCTAACAAAGATGTAAAACAGAAAGAAAAAAAATGATGCTTGTTATCACCAAAAAATTATACAGTAGTAAAACAAAAGTAATCACAATGCAAAATTAATGATAGAAGAATTTTACAGAACAAGTTACCTGTATTTCTGGCAGTATGCCATTACCGAAAATTGCAGCTATGATGGAGATAGAATTGAACGCATTGAAAATGCTCACTGCCTTTGAAGAATCCAAAGAATAGTCCCTTGGAGGGGCTTTTTTTGAGGTAGCTGCAAATTAAGCCTCAAACTTATTATATATGCAATTCCATAACTCAAATAGCTTATTGATGCTTGCTTGCTTTCACATGTGATTTTTAAAGACAGTTATCATTAATAAAATTATTATGTTTGTAAAATTTTATGGAAATATGGTTAGTGTAAGTGGCTATTCAGAGTAAACCAACATAAAATAGAAATTATAAGAATCAATTTTAAAACAAGAAGCCAAAGATTAAAGTACAGTCCAGCACTGTAATTAATTAGTTTAGGTTCTTGAAAAATTGATTTTTTTTTTCTTCTTAAAAGCTTCCTTTATTTAGCCTCAGATATCTCATAGGCCTCAACCAGTCAAATAAATAAAACGATATGTTGACCATCATACCTAGATATAAGCATGCACTGACCACTAAGACGGTATAGCCCAAACTCAGAACCAATGAACCCAAGTTGATGTATCTGAGAGAGTGAAAGGATGGCAGCTGGGAGAGTACAATAAACACCACTGTCACCATCATTATGAACTGATACAACTGCAACGAGCCATTTGGCAAGAGACTCAAGTACATAAGCTTCCAACCCAACAAAAAAGAAGAAGAATATTAGTATCATAGTATATAATACTTGCATTGAATAAACTATAAGATCAATATTGAAGCAAGCAGTTAAACACTTAAATGTGATCCAAAGAATTGCAATTGTGATGCATGTTTTTTCCTAGGACTGCATTGGCTTCTAGTAAAAGCATACTTAGCATGAACAGGGCAATTTCAAGATTTTAAGTGTACTAATCAGCAGAGTTCCATAGACTGTACCACAATGATCTCCTGCATTGGAGTGATATCCCCTTCATCGAGAGAAGAATGTCCACTGTGATACCTGTGGCTCACATCAATGTGTGCAACAGTTTACAAGGTGGACAATATTTCTAAATAGAGGAAGTACACATTTATGCAAGGACGTGTTTGCTAGCTTTTTGATAAAAGTACGATAAGCAAGAAAAGAGCAATTTTGAGATTCAACTTCATTGAAGTATTAAGCAATAATTCGGTTTAGTTTGCACAATACAATCAAAATCTCCTGGCTAGATGTAGGACTTGTAAGTGGCCTAAAAAATGTTCATTCTGTGGTGATATATTGAAATCATAAACTCAAACAAATCCCAAATAAAGACATGTTTATTATACTCCTCATTCATTATCAGCAAAGATCTACTAGGTAGACTGATTTAAGCAGTTTATAATATGCCATCATTTAGTAACTCCGACTGTTTCAACTATTTAAAGGTGATGCCGTGATGTATATATCTAAATCTCTCCAAACTCTGTCTTGTCGAAATATTTAATGGGATATTGCTTTGTATGATTAATCAAACACGTGTTTTGATTATTTTGTAAAGCAAAGTAATAGTTGGAAAAGTCACTAATTAAGTCCCTTTAATTCAGCTAATATCACCAGGAAAGCAGAAAGCCATGTGACCAATTCAAATTAGGAATACAAATTGTGATGTTTACATATAAAAGCTGATGTCTAGAAGAAAGCTACAACTTCTGATGTGAATGTGATAAATAGGACTGGAGTCAGAAAATCAGCCCAACTATTTGTGGAAAGCTGATCTAACATCGCAATTTGAAGCACACAAATTTGAAAAATAAAAGCTAATCAAATGTTGACTTCAAATAGTAATCGGTGAGTTGAAAAAAACAGCTTAAGAATATAGTAGACTACTACCTGAAGGCATTGCCCAGCAAAGAGGATAGCTCCTATACTTATCCCGGTATTAATGGCCGTTTGAATGAACACTACAAAATAAAACATCCAGCCATACCCTATTCAAATTTGTATGAAAAAAAATAGTTAGTTTTATGTTCAAGTAGGCCAGGTGAGTAATTACTGATAAATATGTGCAATAATAATTGTTTCACTAACAATTTCATTGCAAGTCATGAAGCACAATATTAGGTATCATATGGACAAACTTCTAGTAACAAACAATTACTTCTTAAAATTCATTGATATACAGTAACTAGCTACCGTCTTAAGCAATTTTTACAATCAATATTACATGATTCTGAGTTGCATAGTCTAAATAGAAGATATAACCAACAATATCATGCCAATTAGCATGGAAGTAAGGAGTAAAAAAGTACGGAGTAAGAACTTTTTATATGGGTCTTAATTAACATTTAAATTTTGAAGCTTATAAAAACCATCAAATTGTCAAAATGATTAATTAAATTGCCTTAGTCCATATAGGAATTTTTCAAAGAAAAAAGTAAATCTTATTGAATGCACAGAGTAAAAGTAGCAATAAAAAGTAGTTTTCCACAATTATCTTTAAATAAATAATCATACACAGTCTTTATTCTTTCAACAAGTAAGAATCAGATACTTTAGTTGCCTAAGTTTGATAATCAATCAATCTCTAAATTCTGATCTGTATTAATGTATATGATCAATCAATCACGTATAGTGTATTCACTTTATTAGCCTAAGTATATCCCTTGCTTGCTTAAACAGTTTGATCATTTACATAAATTATGTTTGATGATCCATTTTCAATACAAGTAGAAGAGGGATATACTTGCCACCAAAATGACCTTAAGAATATGCATTGTCTTTGCTATAGCCTTATCTTCTACAAAGTAACTATGTATATGCGGGTTTGATTCTTGGATATTATCCGACTCTTTGTAAAAGTACTACCTCAAAACTGTAATCAACTAAGCTAGCCGACATTTATGCTTGTTAGATCAAGCACGATCCTCCAAATTAAATGTCTTTTTGGTGTATTATGCTCAATTCATTTTTTTCTACTTAGCTAAAAAGCATAGCAACAACTTCAAGCTACTAGTACAAAAAATCGATAGATGCTAGGCAAGCACAATACTCTACGACTAATTAAGATCCTGCTTTTATAATAAACGTTCTTGAACTTTTGGGGTAGATGCAGCATTATTGACCATACTTACTTGCAGCATTATTGACCATACTTACTCCATTAATCAACATATTATTACTGATATATTATTACTAATTGTACTTACTCCATTAGTCAACAAATTTGACTAATCTAATTTTGTAAAAGCTAGATATTTCGTAGATTGTTATCATGATTTGTCTACGACTCCATAATTATACTTCCTATTGATTATAAGTTATAACATACTCCATATTATATAGAAGATGACTCTTTCCATCACTATCTAGTATTTAGTATTTATACAATATTGAAATTTATACATACAGTCAACTCCAACTGTATTTTCTTAAATGCCATTTCACATGACAATTAACAAACCAGAAGTATTATTAAAAAATTTACAAGAAATCTCAAGCATATCCTCTCTCAAGGCATCAATCAATATCAGATTAGATAGGAATTAAGTTAAAAAAAAAAATACCAAAAAATTGCTTTAATAAAAAAGTGAACCCACAATTTAAATGCTTGTAGTTGGAGTTGTGCAGTATATTTATCTTGGAAACCTACAAAATAGACGTGCTAGGTTTGACTTCGTATTGTTTGTCTTTTCACATTGACACAGCACACAGACAATATTTAAATGCTCTATTGAATGGTTATTTAATTGATCAATTTATGTTCCTGTCAAAAGAAAACATCTACCAGTACTACCTTCTTGTTTTTACTTGATCCTAAAAATTTGCCATTGTACATTTATACTCTCTGGCGTTCAAGAAACACAGTTACTCCATACAACACTAGTCATACGCTCATACGACCACTAATTTTGACTCCTATGGTCTGTTTGATAACCGGTTATAAACATCTAAAATGAGTTTGAGATATTCAATGTGCACGACATACATTGTACACAATGCATTATTGTTTGAGACCCCTTAACCCTCAATTGTACAAGTGAATTGATTAATACCAACATACCATCAGACTTGCAAAACTGACAGGACTCGTAGTGTACTCGCACCTATAAGGCTATAAGTCTATAACTAATGTTACTCAAATCCGGGTGTCCAACAAGGGTACGCATCCAAGTGTTTGATTCAACTATTTTAAATTATGAAAAATATCTATGCAAGAGTTCAACAAAGATATTTAAGGTAAAATAAAGAGTTCGACTGACATAGTTAGCTATAACTGAATAAAGCACCTTACCCTAAACTCTTCTCACCTAAATTTGACCCGACCCGAACAACTTGTTTACCACATCCACAACGACCACAAGAAATCAACACAATTATACTCATACCCGAATTAGACCCTAAAATTTTTACCCATCATTAAGCGTGATCCTAATAAAACGCCATTTTCTCAGGCGTTATAGAATCTACCACAATTCTAACACTAATCACACTAAAACAACCTCAAATTCCGCAAAACAAAACAAAAATCAGGAGAGAGAAAATAACATACCAAGAACATCAGCAGCAAGTTCACGGAATCGAATATGACGGCGACCATTTCTCTCACAATAATCAAGAACAAGTGACATCAAATAATAAGCGTAAAACGTCACCAAACCCATCACCGTTAAACAGAAAAATCCTAATCCCCAACCTAATCCTCTGAACACATACGGCAATGCCAGTATTGTTGGCCCCACTATCGCAGTCGTCAGATGGTATCCTGCGTGATACCACTTTCCTGCAATTTAATTTCCACATTATATTGTCGTGTTGATAGTGTAATTTGAACTAGTAACGTGACACGATTCGTTACCTTTAGACTCGAGGACGAATTGTGCTCCGGCATCATCGTGTTTGATGTCGGGCACGGATGATGATGATACTGGTCCTGGATAAATTTTTGTAGTCATTGGATCTTCCGGTGGCATGGTAACGAATTCAATGTAAGAGAGAGAAAATGGAGAATTTTAGGAAAAAAATTGGAAATTTGGGTAATCTTATGAATACGGAATTAGCTTTAAATGAAATTGCTGACAACAATGTGTTATTTTATCTTTAATTTGTTTTTTATTTAAAAATGGGAATTAAGAAGGAATAAGAAAACTTTCTATAAAAATGCTTTGCTTTGTGAAGAGTATAAGAGAATAGAAGAGGTAGAAATGAGTGATGAATGATAGTTACAAATTTATAACAATCGTTGATTCAGATCGCGGGAAAATTATGGGGTTAGTTATAATTTTTGAGGAAGGGTACCAAACTTTTTGGTTTGCAAATTGTTGTTTTAACACCATTAATTTAGTTTTTTCAAATCACAATATATGGTGTATTTTTAAGACTTATATAAGTGTATAGATAATTAATTTTAATTTTGAATACATATGTATAAATGAAGACTTTTACAGATAATTGGACTAAAAAAATAGAAGTATAAAACTCTGTTTAAAATAAACAAATCTTAAGCTTTGGTCAAGAATTTTGGATGTAAGAAGTAAAGAAGAATGAAGTATGGAGGAGGACTAGGAATATATACAACTAATACAAGTTGGTATTAATTAAAGTTCAATGATATGACATAGCAAATGGCAACCACGACATTGTCATAGTCTTAGATCTAGAAGAACATATTTAGCCCTTTGACAACATTTACACACAATTCATGGTCAAGGTCAACTAGTGAAACATTTTTGACAAAAGTTATTGAGTGAATTTAGATTTTTTTGACTGATTTTATTCGGTATACAATTAAAAGATATTAATACTCCGTACTTGTTTTTAAAAAATACTACTCGTAATACTTTTATTCAATTAAATAAGTATTTAAGCCGAGTAGATGTTGATACTCCCTCCGTTTTTTTTTATATGCATCACTTTGACAATTGCACTATTCACATACCATGGTTGATTTAATTTTTTCACCTCTAAAAACTGAATAAATGTTACTATATTATAATGTCTAGTTTTATAATATAATTTTGTTACAATTTTTTACTAATACACAATTAAAGATGTTTATGGTTAAAGGAGCATCTCGACAAATGTACCGGTCAAACAATCTCATACTTGTATCTATAGTGGTATGTGAAAAAAAAATAAAAAATAAAAAAATTATTAAGTTACATGATGATAGATAAACTTGTCATGATTGAGATTAATAACAATTTTACGATAAACCTCGAGTAAATCTGTGTGTTAATTGTCCGTTCAACTCATTCCACACACGATAAAATTTAGCACACATAATATCCATAAGATGGAATGCCGTCTAATTAATATCCACTACATGATTATCACGCGTGGGGGGCAAAACTTCCTTTGTGTCTCCATTTCTCAACAAGACCATGTTCACACGAATGTGTATTGCCTACTCCTTTGACTCAATTTTTTCTATACTTTTCAACTCCTTAAACAATAATTAAGTAGTGCCTTTTTAAAAAACTTTTCTATAAGTTTAATCTAGACAAACTTATTTCAAAAAAGAGTTTGTCTTGTTCTTGTTCTCGTCTGTTGCTGTTCCTGTAAAAATAAACTAAGTACAATGAATTAAATAAACATGAAATTTATGCAAGAGAGTAGTTGATGGTAGGTTAGAAACCAAATTTATCAAATCACTAATTCTAGTTTAAACAACCCACTGAAATAGCCACCAGTTGAACAAAAGGTTACTCTCTAATGTGACTAAACTACACAAAGGTCAACCTGAGCTCATTATGCAAGATGTTCAACTATACAACTTGAACATCAACGCAAATTAAACTAGGATGTTTTAAAACTCTCATTTGCTGCCTTTCTTGGCTTTGGCTTTGGGTTCGGCTTCGGCTTTGGCTTCGATTCCGGTTTTGGCTTCGAGCTGTTTGTTGTATTCCTCCAGCTCTTTCTTGTATGTTACCATGCTCTCAGCTGCCTTCTCATTCCATATCTTTTTCTCTTCTTCACTTAGTTCCTGTAATCAACACATTAAATTAGCAATTTGCTATGTTCCAATCTTAAAAGTATGCAATTTTCATGTACAATACATATGTTGTAAGAAGAGAGCATGTGAAAAATTTACCTTCCATTTCAAAGAAATAAGTCCATTGATGGTGGAGAAATTGGTTTCAGACCGCTCCTTCGTCAGATTTTTCCTTTCTTCCATACTGCATTTCAATGACAAACCAGTTTAATACGGAGTAATATTTAACATCTAATCTCAAAGCAAGTTTTCTTCTCTTAATCTTCAACAACAGCTCGAAAAATGATTCACCTGAACAGAAAGAATGAAGATGGAGGCCTTTTCGGCTTGTTTGGATCAGTGACTTTCACTTCCTTGTTCTTCTTCTTGTCCTCCTTGGTTTTCTGCAATCATTAATCGGAGTTAAAACAACCCTCAAAACCATAATACTCATATATATAAGCAAACAAAAGATACATTTTAAGAATGAATGAACCGTAATCAACCTTGATGATGTTCTCAGCCTTTTCTTTCTTCTTAAGCAGCTGTAAAGCCTCAACTTTCTGAATTTTCATGAATTCATCCTCCTCTTTTTTCAAGCTTGCAGCTTCTTCTTCTTTCTTCTGTTTGTACACCTCCATCTCTTGTTGGTACCTTTCCTTGTTTAAATTTGCAGTCTGAAAAAAATGATGTTAACAATAGAACTAAAATGAATAACAGAAAATGATAAGACAGATTATGACTGTTTTGTGATGTTGACCTTTTGGTAAGGTGTTTTTTGCTCTTCTGACATGCTTTTCCATTCTTCACCAATGATCTTTGATGCCTATCAAAGTATCAATCACATACAACACAATTTAGTTACACTTCTAATTTTCTAAATATAGTTAACATGTTACAAGTTCAAATTACATTTATTACAATATCCACATGAAAATTGAATTCAGGTAGATAGAAGTATATTACAGCTTTTGAACCATAATTATTCAATTACCTCAAGCACATTATGGCCCTTTTCAAGCAAATCAGCTCGCCTCTCGTTCGAGTACAAGAAGAAAGCACTCATTGGTTGTTTTGGCTTCAAAGGGTCCTTCTCCTTCCTGAGAATTTTAAGAAAAAAAACATTAGTTAGCCAACTTTCATTCAATTAATCCAAGAGCAAGCAAAGAGTATTACAGGCAAAAGAAAAAAAAATGAAGTCAATACTTTGATTTTTTGGTATCCTTGTTTGCTTCTTGCTTAAATTCAAGGTACTGATTAAGCAGCTCCATTGCAGTCTTCTGCTTCTGCTCTTCCTCTAACAATTTCATTGCTTCAATTTCGCGCTTCTCTTTGCTGACGATCTGCAAATAAGCTTCTTTGTCAGCTTGATACTTCTCCTCATATGGTTTCTTCTCTTCAGGAGTAAGGGTCTTCCACTTAGCACCCAGTATGTTTGAGACTTCCTTGAAATCTGCATCAGGGTTCTCTTTCTTGATCTAAAACACAAAACAAAAACCCAATTTAGGTGGTATAACCTATATATGATCAACCTTATAATATACGGTGGGACTATAATAATATGATTATGGTCCAAAATGGAGTAAATAAATTTACCTCATTCCACTGATCTTTGCACCACAAGGCATATGCTGCAGCTGGCCTTTTCCTTTCTGGGCATTCCTTCTTTTTCTTATCTTTCTTCTCTAATTCTTGGTCTTTCATGATGGGCAGAGTCTGGTCATAAATCACAATTGATGAATTTTATTAAAATCAGAAAATTTCTAAATTCAAAACCCTAAATTGAAACAAATTCATTGAACACATATCATTTCAGAAACCCCCAAATCAAAACCCTAAATTGAAACCCAGACTTATTATTGCAAGAACAAACATAATCCAATGGTTCACAATCATCACATTAATCAAAATCAGAAGCCCCAAATTCAAAATCCTAGATTGAAACCCATATCACTTGCAAGAGCAAATACATTTCAACTCATCACATTCATCAAAATCAGAAAACCCCCAACTTAAAAACCCTTAATTGAAACCCAATCAAACCCCCAAATTCAAAACCCTAAATTAAAACCCAATCAAATTATTAACAGCAAAAACCCAGAATTCTCAAATTTTAGTCAAAAATGTGACTAACATTAACTGAAAGTTAAAGGTTATTAAGAAAACAAACCATGGTAGGCTTAAACTCCTTCATCTTCTGCAACTTTTTGAGCTCCAATTGAAGCTTCTGCTGCTCTTCCTCTTTCTTCTTCAGAATCTCATCTTTCTCCTTCAACATCTCCTCAGTTTTATCCTTCTCAATCTTCATTTTCTCCAACATTTCTTGCATCTCTTGCAAATCCTTCTCAAAATCATTGGTCTCTTCACTTTTCTTCGCCTTCCCTTTCGACTTCGCCTTCGATTTCTTCTTCTCAGACCGAGGATGAGAGAGAGTTTCATTGTTTTCCTTGGTCAAATCAGATTCCGGCACCAATGCCGGCAAATCCACCGAATCAGATGATTTTCCAGCCAAAATGTTAGCCTCATTTGTTGATGGGTTCTTCTCCTTTAGGGCTTTTCTGCTTCTTCCCTTCTTCGTCGGAACTGGGTCGGAAGCCATTGGAAGATTGGATGTTGCAGTGGCAGCCATTGATGATTAAAGGAAATTGAGTTTAAGAGGATTTTGATTTTAGGGTTTCTGGTAAATTTGAAATTGGGTGTGAGAAAATGGTGGGGTTTATAAGGAAGATGAAGGGGTAACGGTCATGTTTTTGGTTTTCAAATTCAAATTCAAATTCATATCAAAGTGGAATAGTGGCCGTTGGTGAAAATCAGGGCTGATTTTCGTTTCCATAAAAAGTTGATGAAGAGCCTCAGCCCAATTATGATATTATTGCCCCAATTTGTTTCCAATATTGGAAGATTCCAAAGATAATAAAATGAACTTGAATTGTATTTTCAAATACTAATTTTTATTGGATTTAACTTAAGGTGTCCATTACTATAATATCCTGATGTAAAATTATATCCTCTTAGCTCTCACCTAGGTTGCATAAAGCCCCGTTCTTTAGAGTTGCTCTGCTCAAATCTAGTCTGTTCTGCTCTGCTTAAAAGAAATCTGCTCTGCTCTATTTTCAAATAATAATTAATATTGAATAATAATAATTGATATTGTATTGATGATAATAATTTATTATTTTGAATAATTATTAATATTAAAAATAATTCTAATAATTATTAATATTAATAATAATTAATTATTAATGTTAATAATAATTAATATTTATTAATATTAACAATAATTAATATCTATTAATATTAATAATAATAATTAATATTTATTAATCATAATAATAATTATCAATAATAATATTTAATAATTCAAACTATTAAGAATTAATATTTAATAATATTATTAATTAATAATTTCTAATAATTATAAAAATTCTTTCAAAAAAATAAATAATAATACTAACAATTAATAAAAAAAAAAATTTATAAACATTTTATATTAGAATCACAATGTGTAGAAACATTTTATGTAGGTATTGATTGTTATTTCATTGAGTTGAGTTATTTTTCAAATCTTTCCATACAATTTAAGAATTAAAAAAAAACGAGATTGTTTTCAAGTAGTACTTTGTATATCATTATTATTTTTGGGGTTAAAAATATATGATTAAGACAAATTTATAAATAAAATCATTATTACTCATTAAATCATTTTATTTTAAAATTTTTGTGAAATAAATATAATTAAAGTGTTGTGTTTTATCTTTCTACTATTAACACATGTTAAATATATATGGTACACATATATTTATGTTTTCACCCATCTTAGGGTAGGTTTCCACGTTCTTTTTTCGGCACTATCCGGCGATCAGGTCAGTGCGTTCTGGTCAGGAGTGGGTTCTCGGTTTTTTGATGCAGTTTCCTCGTCATTTAGGTGCGATTACATCGTCATTTTGGAGCAGTTTCGGGTTGGTTTGGTGTAATTTTGGGCTGTTTTGGTGCAGTTCTGAAACCTTTTTCCGGCATCATCTCCGGCTTAAGGTCTGATCAGGTGTGCGGTTTTCAGTCAGGGGTGTTTCAGGCGGCTTTTGGGCGGATTTTAGGTGGCTTTTGTGGGAGGTTTCTTGACCGATTTTCTGGTAAATTTGCAGGCTATTTTTCTCGGGTTTTTAGGTTGTTTCTGGCGTCTTTAGGGTAAGATTTTCTGGTAGTTTTTGGGCTGTTTTGGTCAGTTTTCAGCCTGCGTTTTTGGGTGGCTTTAAGGTGCAATTCTACTGTGTTTTCAAGCGTGGTTTTGCTCTGTTTTTGGGTGCGTTTTGGGTGCGGGTTCAGGCTGTTATTGGGTCGTTTTGCGGGCTGTTTTTCTCTCGAATATTGTTGTTATTTTTAGTCAGTTGGTGCAGTTTTCAGGCGGTTGGTTTGGTGCAGTTTTGGGTGTAGCTTGGGTGTGTTTTTGGTGATGTTTTAGTGTGGATTTGGTGCTGTTTTTTTGTGTAGTGTTGGTGTGATCTTCTTGTGGCAAGTTGAGGTGGGTGTTATGCCTCCTATTGTCCCATTCCATTGCCCATTTATGGGTCTTAATGGGTGTCAAGATGGTCGGGGTAATGGGCTCTCTAAAGCTTATTTGCTTACTCATCTTCATGATCGTCATTGGTGTGCAAATGCTCGTGATTTGACTCGGCACTCTCTTTCTTCTAATTTGGCTATCTACTTGGAGGCGGAGTCAACCTTTCGTCGTATGGGCATTTGGCTTTGGGGGGAGTGTTTCAAGACACATACTCTTCGTATGAAGTGTCGGCATGGTCATGCTCCTGATGATTTTGTGGCCCCTCCTGATTTTGGGGATGGTGTTGTTCGGTTTGTTCTTTATGGTTTTCCTAAACTGCAGGGTCCTACTTCTGAGGTATATGATCCTGTTCCAAGGGTGCTTAGTGAGCCTCATTTTGCTTTTGATGTTGCTCTTCTTGATAGTTTTTTATCTAAGCGGTTTCGTTCGATGAAATCTATCCCTCCTAAGTGTCGCTTGGGTTTTTCTCGGGTTCTCAAAGGGGCCCTTGATAAGGTGATTGGCAAGCCTGATGACATCTCTTATTGGGTTCAATTGCTTGTGTTGCCTCTCTGTGTCCTTAAAACCTTTTCTCCGAGGAGTAGTCGAGAGTGTTCTTCGGATGTCAGGCGACAGCGGCAGGAAGAGAGTATTACCGCTGCTATTCGTTCTTGGTGTGAGCCTGGTGAATCTGTGCAGTGCAGCTTATGCAAGACACGTTAGCTGATGTGTCTCCACCTTTGTTGGATGTTGATGAGGAACATGATTTGTCCGAGCGTAATATTAAGTAGTGTAAGAGAAAGATTTTTGACGGACATTACACTGCCGCGGGCCCGCGGTTAGGGTTCTTTCGTCTTCTGGTCTTTCCCCTTACAATGATGCTACTCTTGCAGATTTGCAAGCTAAGAAGCCTTCCTTTCCGACTCCTATCTTACCGGATATTCCCGTTGGTCAGCACCTTATTGCTACTCCTGCTGTTGTTTTGGATCAGATAAGGGGTTTTCTACGAGGTACGTCATGCGGTAGAGACGGCTTGCTTGCTCAACACGTTATGGATTGTTTGGTGCTGCAGTTGCTGTTTCAGATGAGTTTGTGGACTTTATTACGCAGATGGTTAATATTTTTCTCGTTGGGAAATGTCCTGCTGAGTTAGGAGAATACATTGCTAGTGCTCCTCTTACGCCACTTGTTAAGCCCGTCGGTGGTATACGACCTATTGTTGTGGGTACCGTTTGGAGTCGTCTGGTTTCAAAGGTTGGGGATGCTTTAATTGGTCTGTGTCTGGTAAGCTATCTAGAAGGTCTTCAGTTTGGTGTTGGGGTGCCTGCGGGTGGTGAGGCTATTCTTCATGCTGTTAATCGTTTGGTTGAGGCGCGTGGTGGTGATGTTGGCCTCACCATGTTGCTGGTGGATTTCCAAAATGTCTTTAATTTGGTAGATCATTCGGCTTTGTTGCGTGAGATTCGTCTTTGTTGTCCAGCTCTCTCGCGATGGGTTGATTTCTGTTACTCTACTCCAGCTAGGTTGTTTTACGGGGATCATATCTTATGGTCATGTCAGGGAGTGCAACATGGTGATCCTCTAGGCCCTTTGCTTTTTGCATTGGTTCTTCGTCCGTTAGTGTGCCAAATCAGGGATTCTTTTGACTTATATTTGCAAGCTTGATATTTAGATGACAGGACTATTATTGGTGACACTTTAGTGATAGGAAAGCTAAGGTTTTGGAGTTGATTTTGGCGGAGGGACCTCGTCTCAGACTCCATGTCAACGTTCAAAAAACGGAAGTATTCTGGCCCTTGGAGGACCCTCAGCTCAGTTCAAATTAATTAATTAATTAATTAAACAAAGTCCTTTAGTCATTGGTTAGTTTATTTAGACTTATTTTACAAACACAAGTCAAACCAAACGGTTAGTTTAGTCACATATAAGCTATGCACGAGTAAGAATGCACAAGTAGTTCACATAGTCACAATATGATGCAATGAGTTTGCAACCTAACCATGGCTCTAGTTCTCTAAAGTTCAAGGATATGGGTTAAGTCAAAGAGGGTCCATGGTTATGAGTCCGGATGCATCGCGCGGAAGCCTAACCTTGAAGGGTTGGCGCGTATGGATGGGACCCCGCAAGTTAAAAAACTTGCTTCCACGGTTTGGTGGATTCACAAATTCGCATGTACCCGTCGTTGCCAGGAGCGTTCGATTGGTTAGATGAAGCGTGAACCCCTAGAGGGTTATGGCCATATGTAGAACACATATGGGTTTCAGAAAAGTGAGAAAAAACTCAATCAGGAAGTAGAATCGAGCCAACGGTACTAGAAATGGTCAAAACAAGAAGGCAGAGTTCTGGCTCAGTATTGGAAGAACTTGGCGCCAGACTACAGGAATTGTCGCCGCAAAAGAACCTCTGTCGCCAAATGACAAAACTATCGCCAGGCGACAGAAGCTCTTTACAGGTGACGGTCTCTGTTTTCTAGACGCTAGTTCCTACATGCCTTGGCAGGTATCTGTGTTCTTAGAATTTTCCAGATTTCGCAATATTATTTCGATTCTAGTTGTGAAAGATATTTCTCAAATTTCCTATGTGTAAAATCCTATGTTTTTGACTCATTTCGGATGGTCTATCCAATGAGGACCTTTTTATGCATATGACAATAATGTTAATCAAAATTACGCACATGAAATACTTAGAATTTTCGAGTCTCATCCGCTCATTCTAAATCATTGCCAAAATAAATTTCAGGAATTAAAATAGAAATCCTGCCCAGTAGAGTCGCCAAAAAACTGTAGGGAATATTTCAAGCACTATAACCCCAAGCTTGAACCCCACTGTGATCATACACTAAAGTATGGTGGCGTTCCAAAGGGAAGAAAGCTAGAGCAAAAGAGTCGCCAACAAGTTTTAGGAACTTGTAAACCAATCACGAGGTGAAGGTAACACCCCTTAAACGATCCAGGAGATCGTCAACTCCATAAGGTCTTGAACCAAATAAGGTTCGGGGATGAGGGTACGAATCTAATCTACAAAAGAAAGGACCCGCCCTATAAATAGGCCTCTACTTTGTTCTACTCGTATTCATGTGCGCTTTCTGACTAACATGCAAACATTATATTTAGCCCTAAACCTGTTTATCTGTGTTGGTTGAATATTAATGCACAAATAAAACTATTATTGGCGATCACTTGAATTAAAATCACATTAGCCTAAACCAAATTATTAATTATCTTATTAAGCGTGATTTCAAGTACAAATTTCCTTTAAACAAGCATAAAAGGCGTGATCAAGCAATAA